AGAACAAATGTACCAACCCTCCGACCCCCGTCAGACCCCCTGCCCCCCAACGATCAATGATATTTGATCTCCTGAAAGAAGAAAAAAACAATTGATGTAACCCCCGAAAGTTTCCCCAAAGTGGCATATTGTACGATCCACCACCGGAGTGACTGGCCTTGAATCAAATGCTTGGGTTACGGTCTGATGCGCATTAATAGCGCCCGCCAAAGAACAAGGGACTGGTCCAGCTGTCGCTCGTTTCCCCATCCCTTCCTATCCCTGTCGAGGGATGAACACAAGCCAGTTCGGTGCCGAGATCTTGCACACCCCAATATCACAAGAGCGCGCCCTTCGACCCGTTCTCCTGAACCCTGAAGGATGGTGGATTCGGATCCATGTTGATCCCTGGATGCGACGAGGATGCATGGAGTGACGACAACGTCCTAGGGTTGACCTTGGGATCATGAGGGACTGGGAAGTTATTCCTCCATCCTTCACATCTCGATTTCATCATCAGTTCTCGCCCTCTTGAAGAGAGGCAAACAGCTACGAAGTAGCTTGGCCCTTGTCAAAGGGGCACCATGGCGCGCCGGAGAATATCTTCTTAGCGAAGGGTACCACCCACAGTAGTGTAATGGACTACTGTATGGCCCTTGCAGTGCGCTAAATGATCGCGCTGTCCCCAAGCTGGGGCGCGAACTCTTGCTCCTTCAAATCCCGCCAGTACCTCGTGGATTGGGGTTGTTTACTTGTTGGGCATATCGTCATAGCCAGCGGTCTATCACATCTGAAGAAATCGGAAATCGTACCCCACCCCTTTCCTTTCTCCATCAATATTAGTTGTTCCTTTTTCTATCGGAACTACTGGGGGCGTCGTATCTCTGCCCCTGGTTCGAAGGATGCCGATATATCGACCAGGTATTGACTTGCCTGCCGGCAGAATCTCAACCAGAGGAGTGCGTCATTGAAGTGAGAATATCAGAAAAGCCGTGTCGCATCTTGTACGTTGAGGAGTCTTCCACGTGCAAAACTGCCAATCATCAGTGGGTACGTGTAGTCGGTTCTTGGTGGAATTGACGCGATGCCCCCGTCCGTATGGTGGATGGGAGATATGGGCACAGTTTGGCCTATGACCTCACAAAGATACAATTTATTGGGACCTGGACGCTATGCATCACTCGCAGAGACCCACCACTTCTATTTGACCTCGAGGCACAAACTAATGTTATCATGACATACTCGCTCGGAGATGGGGGAGTGCCGCCTTGTTAGCACCTACGCTGCAATACCCCGTCTTGAAGAATAGCTAGCAGTTGGCTTCCGGTCCTAGCGTGCCTCATGGAGAGAGCGAATCTTGTTGTAGTTCGGCTAGCGAAAAGACCATGCGAGTGCTTGTTTCGGAGGTTGATCCACCCACCTCGAGATCTTCTCTGATGGTGCCACTGATCGCCCGGCCAGGGGAGCCGCATTTAGTGTAGAGCCTCCCCTTCCCACCACGCGCTGCTAGGGATAGAACTAAGTGGTTAGCTGTTCGGGGCCGCTGTTAGCGACGACTGCGGAATCGTATCAAGACAGGCGCTCCTCGCCTAGAAATGGCCTCCTTAAGCAGAGCAGACTTGCGAAAGGGCAAGATCGATCCTTTGATCATAATGCTAGAGCCAGTGCCTTCGCCAACCGAAACCCACAAGAGAAAGCTCTCTGAGGGTAGGTAGGCTGGGGTTCTCTCATCCTGCTCAGTCATCTCATGCTCAAGCAGCTCCTCCTCCTCTCGCACGAGCGCGCTACAGGTTGAGATGGGACGTCGGTCATGACCGGGTTCTTACGCATTACGTCCATAGACGCTGGAGACGACTCACGCAGCCTTAATCGTGGATCTCATGCAAAGGACAAACAGGTGTTCGGAGTGGAAATTTAGGCCTGTCGTTCCAAGCCAGCTTGACTTTGGCCCGAGTCAAACATTATGATTACTTTCTGGAGGAAAGCTCGTGCCACTCTCATTGGCCCACTCCGCTGCCATTGACAGAGGAACTCGGTTTGTCCATTCGGTTTGTCCACCGGGCCCCAGACAGGTCTGACGGAGCCCAGAGGATCATTGATTTTGTTGCCAAACAGCATCCCTGCCGAAGGACACTTCGTTCAATCCCCTTTTGGTGCGATGAACTACTTGTATACCAGGGTGTTGCAGAAGAAAAAGTGGTGGGGGCGGGCCTATTCTTTTTCACCCCATTTTGGACTGCGTAGAGGCAAGCGATTTGCCCAAACCGCACCGAGGAAGCAGTGCCTGGGTACGAGGGACGGACTGTACGCAAGGCCGTGTCCCACCAACCAGCAACGGAGCGCCGAGCGTTATATTCACACCCCTACTACACCTGCACCTTCTCTCGAGCTGGGAGAAAAACCCCCCAAACCGGCCACACATCGATCAAGGGTGGCCAGCCATTGTCAATTGCTGAACCGTGCATGGAAACGCCCCCTCCCTCCAAATCCATGGCACTGTCTTTTGGGGGTGGTGCCTCTGAAGCGAGCATCCCACACACACCCACCCTCTTCAACAGGTTTGAGCAAGGCCATTGAGGCAGTTGGCGGGCGGTGGGCAAGCTGACTTGCGAGTTTTCTGACACCCAGGACCTCGCTCCCTGCCCTCAACTTGTTTACCACGAGTCAGCGCTCAGTACTGCTCGATTTCCAGAAACCGAGGGATGTGTGCTATGCCAGTCCATACTGCAATATTGTCGTCAACTACTAACGTTAAAGAACTCTCATGACCCGCAGAACAATCTCTTTATGCATTTCCCGTATGCGATTTCGTGATCGTCATCAATCGTTTAATTCCATGACACACGGCACTTGTTGCCCTCGACAGCTTTCCACATGATCAAAGCCGGAGCAAATGTAGAACCGGAGCTTTCCGAGCCGAAGGTTTACTTTTACCCCAGTGAAGAGAAATTTACAGGTCCAGTAAAATTCGGCAGAGGTAGTGTCGCGCACCTCAAACCAGAGATCAATATGAATGGGCTCCTCAAGTGCCTGACCAACTCAAGGTGAGTTAGGGCTTGGGTGAAGGCTCACCTCTTGTCCGTCTTCTTCCACTCTGCCCTTGTCCTTCCTTCTTTTGGTCCTCCATTTTTCTTTTTCATTCCCCCTTTTTCCAGCATTTTCCCCTGCGAACACATAAAGGTGTCCCGCAGTGAAAGTGCCCTTATCTCATGACCAAGTCGTAGAAGTTCTTCGCCCTTTCGGCTCGCCTTTCCCCTCACCAAAGGAGGCGCATTCCCTTAAATTTGAGCCACGACAAGAGCCTCATTGAAGAACTGCTTCCGTCCGTCCTTGACGATTCCTTTTCTCGGTCGCTTCTGTGTTCCCTATCTGTCTACTTGTCCGTCCTTGCCACTGAAAGTCGGACCGGCAGTGGCGCTAGGAGTACACCTAGTTAAACTCAAAATCCATCAATTGATGATTTCTAGTGACCTAATAAGACAGGAAGCAAAAAGGGGGAATTCATGCCTGGAAGAATGGGCCTTTGGTACCTCGGTCTTTTAGAGAGACCCTCGAAAGTCCAACATGAATTTTCGGGTTGAGTTTGTATTCAGTAAAACGTCAGTCGCTGGCCGCGAACTGGACGCCGGAAGGATGTAATCTTGTTGCGCTCCCCCATTCAACATTCAACCCATTCTCATGCTTCCCTTCCACTTCGTCCGCATTATTATTATTAGCCCGTACCTCTCATTTCTTGGATTTGGCGCCCCCTTCTTGAAGAAACCTCATTTTCGCCGATTCTTCTCGTCCTCCCACGGGAGTACCGGTCCAGCACCTTCTGTTCATTTATCGCGAGCGAGGCCTCGAACGCACAACTCGAGGCCTATTGACCACTAATAGACAACGCCTCATGAGGCTCATCCTCCACCCTCGGTCGTCTGCTCTAAGGGTCAAGTCCCGTGGTCAAGGTTCTACACAACGAAGACGCTTGTGATCCACAAGTTACCGATAAGAGCAAGGTAAGCGACTCAAGCCCCCTCAGTTTGACCCCCTCACTCCACCGTCTTTCCAATTCCCATATTGGAGGTATCGCGCCGCACCAACCCGGTTCAGGACCCGACCCAAGTAATAGGCCTGAACCGACCCACCATACAGCACAAGGCACCCCTGCGGACAATTCAATTACAAGTACACCCTCCCCCACCACCGCCTACACACCCCCGGTGCTCTCTGAGATCTCCACTTGAGCTCCACTTGCCCATTCTTCGTTTCCCCCCGCCCTCCCACCGCAGACACTAGGCAATACCCCCTGCTTCCTCTAACCCGCCATAGAGTACTTTAGCGGCTTTGCACCCAGATTTTTTTCACCTAGAAAGTGAATTGATCCTTGCTTGGCTTCATTCTCTCTCGCCTGGATTGTTCACCAGAACATTGATTTCAGACCTCTCTTCTCGCAACGAACCTGGATTTGTTACGCGTTGCTTGACTTGGCCTGTTATCTTTCTACTCTCCTCTTTTGGATGCTTAGAATTCTCAGGATTCGATCTAGAAACTGCTCATAATAGTTTGGCCTCTTGCGATTTTGCCGATTCTCCATCTTAGCCCACAATCCCTCCCACCCACGCATCTCGCATCTCTTGCAACCCCCACCAGACAATTCTTTCTCTCCAACGCGGCTCTTTCTCTTTCTCCCTCTTCCTCTTTCCCACTCTCTCTCTCTATCTCTCTCTCTCTCTCTCGCTTTCTCTGTCTCTCAGACCGCGCCAGTCCAGTACGCCCGCACCTCTTTGGCTTCCCTCGGCAAGCGCGCGTTTTATTGAAGCCAGCCCAGAGCTTGAAGCTAGTTAATCAGGAAAGGCTAGCACCGACGACGAGGAGACGGGATACGGCGAAGCAGCCCGGCTCACCTTGCAGCCAACTCACCTCATCACCATTCGACATCGAAAACCAAGCGACAAGGCTAAACCGATCAGCCTTTTGACCGGGTTATACTCGCCAAGATAACCTCCCAACCTCCACCAACGACATTCAGAGGAGAGAGCATGTACCTGGAGTCCACCCAGCCTCGCACCGGCTTCCTCGATCACCAGAAGTCTCTTCTGTCTTCAGCAGCCCATACCCCAAGGGCGGCATCAAATCACCACGCCGCTGTTTCCGCGCCTAACAACGCTCATACGATGGAGCGAGCCACGAGCGATTATCCTCAGCCTGGGCTACCTTCGCCATACCCTGCTCCGTACACGGATGGCAGGTCCGAAGGCTCATCGGGTGATCATCAATCCACTTCTCAATATCCCGCGCCTCAACCAGAAGTGAGGTCTAATACGTATTCCACATCAGCGACTCCTACGTCCGAGTATGGCGTTTACCCTACGTCCGCGCGCTCCGGTTCTTTCCCGGAGCACATCCAGCGCCCCTATCATCCCCATCCTGCGAGCAACAGCGCAAGCAGCGGCGGCATGCCTCAAGGAAGCAGTACGTTGACCCTACCAAGCCCTTTAAACAGCTGTGCTACCACGCATTTCATAAGACCGTATGCTCACAACGACGTGTAGATAGCTCGATCGCGGCTCCCAGCCCCACGTATCCCTACAGCCAAGCGCATTCGCCCTACGGGCCCCTGGCGACATGCCAAACTATCCACATGGTGGCGGAGTGTATGCTCAGGCTCGAGCGGACTGGGCCGCGTACGGTCAACACAGCGCCGGCCCTTTGACCCCTACGGGACCTGTCTTTCCCACGACACCATCCTCCGCGCCTCCCCAGCCGCGCCCCAGCCAGGTATGACACAACAGGACCACTTGGCAGGACGCTACTCAACACTTGCCTAAAAACAAAAAAACAAACAAAAAAGACTAATGACTAGCAATAGGTGTACTCTTTCGTACCGATCCCAGGCTCGCAGCAACACAAACGACCCCGAAGGCGCTACGAGGAAATTGAGCGCATGTACAAATGTGGCTGGAACGGTTGCGAAAAGGCCTATGGAACGCTGAACCATCTTAATGCTCACGTAACAATGCAAGGCCACGGCACGAAGAGAACCCCAGATGGTAGGTCGACCCCTTTGCATTTCGTGGTGCTCCCATGCCATCTCAGAAACTAACGGCGCAGCAGAATTCAAGGAGATCCGTAAGGAGTGGAAGCAGAGGAAGAAGGAGGAGGAGGCCCAGCGCAAGGCGGAAGAAGAGCGCCAACGTAACGCCGCTTCGGCTGCTCAGAACCAGGGCCAGGAACCCGGATCTGTCGACGGCGGCCAGGCTCCCCCAGGCTACCCCAGCTCTCGCGCTCTCCAGCTTCCTCCAATCGGTTATCAGCCAAATGCGTATCCCGGCCCCCGTCGGCGGGAGTGCCGCAACAATCGCTACCAGACTATGGCAACAGCCAGATGTACCCAAACTACCCCCATTCCCCTATGGCCAGCCCGGTCAGAGCATGTATAGCCAGTGTAAGTAGATATTCCCTGAAGGGCGCCAGATCCCCGACCCCGACAAAACCGTGGCTAACTCCAGCTTGTGAAACAGCTGCCAACGGAAGCCAGCCGCCTAGCCATTAGGGGCTTCGGTGCTGTGTCTTGAGCAATAATTCCTTCCCAAGTTCCTTTAATCAGCCTTTATTAGAGTATGGTCACCAGACAACCACGTTTGCAGTACATCTCAGTCGTTTGTTTTCCCCACCACACACAGCATCATAGGAGAAGGAGGAGAAACCATGCATCCATCGAGGAGTCACGAGAAAGAAAAAGGGCGGCATGTTTTGGTTTTCACTGGTTTAGTTTGGTTTATGGTTTTGCACAACCTGTTTTGTCGCCCTGTTTCTTGCCCTTTACCCAACGCTACGCTCTTCACTTTTTTTTTTATCTACAATCCCGCATGGCTTGTTTTGCCTTTGCTCTCTCCCCGTTCACATCTTCGCTATATTATTTTCTTTTCAGTTTATCCCATGAGGTGTCAGCGGTTCAGGTGGGCTGGGAGTGGTGCTTTTCACTTTTTTTTATATATATGTTACCTTGATTACACTCGAATAACGGGTTGGGGGCAACGGTTTTTTCAAACGGCGCTCACTCGTCTTCTAAGGAGACCACTAGTAATCACGAAGAAGTTAAAAAGAAGGAGATTTCGTCCTAACTTGTGATTCACGCCCGGAGCACACATCACATTCCGCATATGACTTTCACGGAGGATTGGGATATTGTCTGATTTTTAGTTTTCCCCGCCATGCCCGTAGGCACCCAATGTGACGTTTCGAGGCTTTCTCAAGTCAAATCATATAACCTGAGAACTCGTGGAAAGGAGAAGACGGTACCAAATGACTTGATCAAAGTTCCTGAGCAAAGCATGACGCATGACAAACACTTGGAAGGATGTTAGCCGGTCGAGGAGCGGCAGATTCACATGCTTTACGGTGCCTCCAGCACGCCCCTGAGGCGTGGAACGGGATGGACCAGGCATTCGAACCCAAAAAAGTTTGGGGTTTTGTGGGCCTACTAGTCGACGAGCCGGCGGTGGCCGTTGACGCGGAACGGAGGCTAGTTCCTAGTTCCGGGGCAGCCCAATCTCCAATCCATCGTGAGAGAACAATGAATCCGGGTTTTTGTATTACATGCACTCTTATGTAGGACTATAGCGACACTGTGGAAGTGCCGTCCAATCCAAGGCCAGAAAAGTAGTTCGCACGGTATATAGGTCTTTTTTGTTTCTTCTTTTGGATTCGCGTCGTTCGGACCTGGGATCCGATGAGGAAAGAGGAGAGAGAGCGAGAGAGCGAGTGAGGGAGAGAGAAGAACGTCTCGAACATGGCATCCAAGCAGGAGAGGATGAGGGGATGGGGGGTCAAGGTGATGAAGCTTCCCAGACATCCGTTGTAACTTCGTACCTTCCCAAGAGTTCGAGCATCATCGGCCGCAGAGATCAGGGCCTAGAATTCTGGGAGGGATATTCATTTGATGGATGCGTTGATAATGTGCGCATTAAACTATGCCTGTCACTATTGTCTTCAATGTTCTTTTGGAAGGGGGATAAGAGAAAAGGGAGACTTGACAGACAAACACTCTCTCTTCCTTATCTCCTTGGGGGTCTAATGGGTCATTCTCCCCGCCTCTTATCTTGCCTTGATTTTCTTCTTCCTATTCTATTTTGGGCTATAATATCAAAATCATTAGTGTGTCTGTTTAAAAATCGACGTTGAGTGCCAAATGCCGCTACTCTGTGGATTGCATCGATAGTGTGTATCGAGATCCACCTTTGTGAGACGGTCGGGGCTGTTTGATGGCTCTCTCGTCTCTCTCTCTTTTAACTTGATTTCTTTTTCTTTTTCTTCTCTCTTTTTCTTTTCCCTTTTTCACTTCGTAGTTGGGTATCGTTGCAATAATCTCAGATCCACGTTCTGCTTGTCCCTTTCCCTCTTTGCTTTTGGTTACATGTACATGTAGCAAGTGGTCAGACCTTCTCCCCGCAAGGGAGAAGCGCAACGGGTACAAAGCACGGAGAGGCGGCAACTCGGACTAAGCCCTGGGCGAGGTGGGCTAGCGCTTCGAAATCACGACAACAAGCGCTCTAAAGCAACGCCCAAAGCTGATGGAGTCAGTTGAGAACCTCGTCCGCGGGGCGGCTCGTTCACAACTAAAAGCCTAGAGATTGGATCACCGTCCCGTGGTAAGCCAAAAGTTGGGTTTCTTCACGCCACTTTGTGGCCAATGAGAAATGAGAATTAATAAGTAAAACCTCTCGTCGTTAATGAGATATTATTTATTACTACCACCCGGGACACCAGGGAAAAGACGGAGAGTGAGAGAGTGATGGTTGATGGGTGTGGAGAGTTGGTTGATTAGTTGAGGATTAGCAAACGAAGAAACCCAAACCAAAAAAAAAAAAAAAAAAAAAAAAAAAAAAAAAAGTCGGTGGAAAAGAGGAGAGCGAAAACGGAGGAAAGAAAAGCGGAGTTGGCAATTGACTGAAATTTTCGAGGTTCAGATTGATGCAATCAATGCTGGAGCCAATGGATTTTCATTTCATCCGCCTTGGATGACCTTGTCGAAAAGGCCATAATAGGCCACACGCGGCAAACAAGTTCAGAACTAGGGCCATCTGATCCTTTCTCTCTGTACTACTCCTTTGCTGGGTTGAGCTTACGCCGATTCATACACACAATATGGGGTGCATGGCCAAGGTACCACGGCATCCGTACTTGAAATGTGAATTGGGGTCCCAGGGTTCTCGCTAACTCGACCGGCTCCGGTTCCTGGGTTTGCCAGAGCTTTTAGTGCAACCAGACTGTCGGGTCCCCAGGGACGGGAACCAGCACCAACCAATTGATATTAGTTCGGAAAGGCCAGTATTATCTTTTATTACTACGAGGTTTCGACCTATAAAAAAACGTTGAAGAAAAAGGAAAAAGGAGAAGAAAAAGTTGCACCAGATCACGACACAGGCTTCTTGTTCTGAGCTGGGGCCAACGACAACGAGGAAGGAAAGGAAAAATTGGCTGTCAAGCTCTGAGGAAGGGACACAAGAAACGCTGAACCAGTTAATAATACTTCGTCGTTCGTAGCTTTTACATGCCCAGCCCGGTATCGCTGAGAAATCCTATAGAAAATTTCCCTCGAATCGATTTTGCGCGCCCAACCCGGCCTCGACCGTCTCGAAGGAATTCCTACCCTCCAATGCACATCCACAATGGCTCCGACCAGGTATCCGTCCATGGGATCGGGGAAGGATTGGAGGAGTTGGGAAAGGGCTAGGGCGACTGACCGCCACGGATCCCTGGGCTGGAAAGAGCGGTCACCCCTCCATTCGCACGAAATCCTGCATCGATCGGCTCATCCGCCTCCTCTATTTTCGACTCACGAGATGTGAAAGAAAAAGAAGAGATCAAAAAGAAAGGCGGTGCGGCAAGCGATCGTCATACTGTGCTGAGGCCCATGCTAGACAGACCAGGATGTTTTGTTTTTACGAGCGTCGGGGGATGCGGGTCGTGCGAGCCTGAAAGGTCGCTGGATGTTGGGCTCGCTTGGCCACACACTTGCAGGCCCAGGCTTCGTGCCGAGAGATTCGCGAGGGATGCTAAAATGTACCCGGCAAATGCATTTATAATGGATTGCTCGCCGGATTCTCCCATTTGCAATGTCTTATCCTTGCGGTACGCCACACAGAACCATGAGCGGCAGGCCCGGATGTGAGCGGCAATGGCCAACTGGTCATGATGTGACCTTGCACTAGTTACATATTCCCAGCCCCTTCCCCATTCGGCCTTACCCGTCCAACTATCGATCAAGCCATTATTCGACAGCGTTCTAGCGCGCAGAGGCAAGTAGTCGCTGGATGAGCGGCGGCGCTGCTAGTCGCGGGAGCAGGTGGCGCTGGTAGGATTGCGAGGGGATACAGAGAGGTGGTTTTTAGGAATTAATATTGACGAGCGTGGGGGGACGGCATCCCCATGACAAGACGAAGTGAGAAAAGGGAGGGGGAAAAATGAATATTGAGGCTGCGAAATTGGAGCAAAGAAGACGTTTGGGGTACAACGCCGACACCTTGCAGCCCTCGATCCGGGAGAATCGGCAGGTTTCATTGCCAGCCCTGGGGCTGTTTGTCGATGAGGAGCCAGCCGATCGGCCAAAGGAATAATATGAGAGGCGCTATTGAAAGCGGTCGAAAATGGATGGACGTAATGTTCCGGCGCTGCAGGGACCCTCGTCGGCGGACGCAGCCACCGTTCAGCTCGCTAGCTTCGTTTACAAGTACAGTCGCAAGGCTTCTTTCGCCCCAGTGCTGCGAACGACACTTCTCCGCCCACATCCATGCTTTTCACGTCGGTGGGCGGGATAACTAGTGTCCATGGGCGTCTAGATCGCACCCCACCCCTCTCGGGGATCTAAATCCTCCTCCAACCATGTGAGGGAGAATGAGGCGGAAACTCGCCCTGCAGGTGACGATGGCGGGCGCCCCTTCCTCGATGCCATGGCGTGGAGTCCGTCGAATTCGAAACGCGGACCGTAGTTTAGGGTGGCACGGGAGCTAGCTCTTTCTTTATTCCCCCTCCCTTTCTTTACTTTTTACAACTTCTTTTCCTTCTTCCTTTCCCCCTCCCCCTTTGAACGGGGGATGGGGCAGCTTTTTTTTTTTTTTTTTTGACGTGCGATCTTAGGTGTCGATTAATGTCCTGAACACCAGCTGCGATAATGCTTGTCATGCACCGTCGAGGCCATGTTCAAGCCCGTTTGCACGTCCCGCATCAATTGATAGTTGCGTGCCCGCAAGGCCAAGGAGGGCGTGGGTTACGAGGCGCCACCGGGCCTGGTTGTCTCTTGTCCGCCGCATCGGGAGCGGGCGTGAACGGGGTACGAGCTAATATGGCCTCGCCGGGGTCGAGCAAGCCAAGTCTAGCCATAGCATGATAGCCAAGCAAAAATCCTTGGTCCCCGAATGATTGACCCAGCCGCGAGTTGGTTTGGGATGGACATCGGCTGCAGGCCACACCCATCTACGCGCGGCGCCACGCTATTGCGCCTTGGAGCTCCATACCCACTGCGCCAGCGCTAGACTAGCCTTGACCCGACAGACAGCGACGTGTTCCGCGCGGGTGGTGTCGTCGACAGGCTCCAGGACTAAAACGGGCGAGCAAACCGACGTGCTTCACTGTCAGCTCTTCCTTCAGGCGGGCGAGAGCGAGCGGAGGGTGTCAAGGAGAGGGGTGAGTGACGATGACATGCGCTCTCAACCGCTCTGGTACCCCTTGTTTGCTTTTCCTTTTCTTTCTCTTTCTACAAGTACTTTTTTCCTCCTTTAACCATGTCATTGCATAACCGAAGTATCGAGGTACACCTTCTATCCTTTTTCCTTTGGAACGGAGAGGACGCCGAAAGGTTAACGGTCGAATAAACAAACGTGAGGTAGAAAAATGATTTTAAAAGGAGAGAGACAATCAGAGAGAAACAAACAGCGAGAGACATGCACACGCACATAGAGAGAGAGAGAGACGTTTTGGCCAATGCGAGGGTTCGCCACGGCCAGCTACTCTACCGTCAATTCTTCCGTTATCGCCGCGCTGAATTGAGAGCACGGCAGACGTTCCCGGACAAATGGGAGTGATAATAGTCCTTCTCTACATCATTATCGCAGATAGGATAGACATCATACTCAACTCAAACTCGATCTCTAGAATTTCCACCCAAGGGTAGGTCAGATAGTCGCCGATTCTAAGCACGGCGGTGGACGAGAGGAGACGACGCCGAGTAGAGGGAGCGTCCCCTTCTCTATGTACTTGATGCATCTAATATGGCATCTGACGACAAGATCATCATTCAGATTATCCGGGTGGCCAAAAATGGTAGGCGAGGTCGAGATAAACTATGTGGTATGGGAGGCCGAGTCATATCTTCAGCTGAGCTAATTGGAGCTCGCATCCCGCATCCTTGCGAGGATCAACGACCTGCCGCGGGTTGTGATGCTCCCTGCGTTTTGTGCCCTTTTCACCTTGCGGACGATAAGTTTGCGGATGACGTCAGCTTTTTTGGTCCACCCACCACATCAGTGACGGTGGCACAACGCCTGTCTTCCTAAGCTAACGACAATCCTACCCCGCCTCCCGCGGAAAAGAATTATTCGCACATCTGATAATTAATGCTGTTTTGCCGCTCTCGTTTCACGACGCTTCCACGCTCTTTCCCTAGTGCTCCTGCCCCCTCCCTTTCGACACCATTTTCTAGTTTATTTCCAAGGATATGAAGTGCACAGCCCCTCTGAGAGGTGTCTGAGTGACCTACCAAGCTCGCGAGCCTTTTCGCTTCTGAGGTCATTGGAGCCCAGGACAATATCAAGGCAGGAAGGATCGGACTCTTTAGGGCTGAAGCTAAATGGAGCCGCACTGCTAGACTTAAAAGAACCTTTCTCCTTCGTGACCTACCTCGGTAGATTTCTTCTGATTAGGCAATCAGATTGCTACTCCAAAGCCCAAAACAACCAGATATCGTTCCTGGTCATCAGCTATAACCACCGCAGCGACAAGAGCAACAAGGACAAACACGGATTGTAGTGGTGGTACTTAGCGCAACCAAGGCTACAACTACGGCAGAAATAGGGGCAGAAATAGCCATCTATAGACTGCTGTTGCGGTTGTTTTCTCTGCCGCCCTGAACTAGAGAAGCTCAAGGGTAAGCACAGGCCGCTAGTGCTTTCGTTTTGATACAAGAGGCTAAAACTAAGAGGTGCCAAGATTCATAACGTCCTCCCAAATCCCACCACCCTCCCAACCTCACTTGCTCTCAGCATGTCAGTGGACGCCGGCCTCAACCCCCTTCCTATCCGTACAGGCCTCCTAAACCGCATCCCCTCTTCGACGAGCAAGAGTATTCGGGATACGGACTCAGCCATTTCCATCACAAGCTGCTCATCCTACGACTCTATCCCGGTCACAGGTTCTTTCCCCTCGGGACTCTCCGCGTCCATCGTCTTGAGGACCGCCCCTTCAAGCGCGATATGAACTCCTTACCAAGAGACCAAGGCGAGAATGATGCCCTTCATATGGGGGCGATGTCCTCCAGATCATGGATCTTCCCGAAAAGTTCACTGTTGGATACGACTCCTCTCTTTACTGCTCCAAGCTTCCGCGGTCTGAAGGATATCCCCCGGAGCCCACTTTGTCTGGGCATCATCGTCGGAAGCTAGCTCCATGAGGACGGGGTTCTGGTTCTTCACGGAGCCGACGGACGCAATCCACGTGGTTCAGTGGGATAGATTCAACGAAGTGCTCGGCGAGCCCGCTAGCCAAACCGAGATTCGCATTCAAAAGGATAACATATCCAGCACGTATCATGAGCTGCCGTCATATTTCTCACTCCCCACCGCAGGTCAGAAGAAAAATGAGGATGCTCAGCAACGTATAGATGACCTCAAAGAGAAGGGTATTTGGCGCCGTCTTACCTCCCATGTTACGGCAGCCAGGTTACGGCGCATAACTGGCCGCCAGTCGGGCCCGTGGTATGTTCATACCACGGATCGAGTCAAAGGCTCCATCGTCCTGGCCGCCGAGCGTGAGCTCGAAAAACCGTCAGTGTCGTCGCTGTTGATGAGCTCAACTTTTCCTTCAGCCAGACGGACAAGACCTACTCCATCGAGGCAATTGGCTCCGCACGTACACAGCAAGCTGTCGACTCCACAGCATATCTTGAGTCCGTCCTTAACGACACCTCCGAGTCAAGTCTGACCGACGAAGATATTGTGGGCGAGGTTCAGATCGCTTTCCTCGTTGGCATGCACCTCGGAAACGAAAGTTGCATCCTTCAGTGGTGGCACATGGTTCTTCGGATCCTGTTACGTGCCTTCACTCTGGTTGTCACTAAACCCCAGCTCTCCCGCCTCTTCATCCAGACCCTGACGGCTCAGTTATCATATAACAATACCCATCTTGATGGCTCTATACTTGACTATGGGGTCGACAGTTCACGTGACCTCCGCCTGGCCCTTACTATATATAAGCGACGCCTCGACGAACAACTACTTGCACTCAACGGAGACGCTACCAATGAGCAAGTTGCCGTGGGAAAAGCTTTCCTTGAGCTTGAATCTCTCGCGTGGAAGCTTGGATGGGATCTGCGAGCTGACTATGTCCGGTCAGGAAAGGTCATGCTTGAGGACGGTGAACAGGTGGATCTGGATATGGATGAATTCGAGGCTGAAGATGAGCGTGGAGAGTTTGCCGCCGTTGTTGTGGAGATGGATGATCATGGAAGGCCTAAAGATATGATATCTTGGGAATGAGTTCCCACATGACATCTAGCCGCACACAAGAAGGCCTCACGCGAAAACTTCCGTCCCAACTACCATACATCTGGGCTAGGCGCACGCTTCTCTTGACGTCGGGATCGACACCACGATACTACGAGTTCATTTCCTTTTCTTCAATCTTGTTCTTTTGTTCCCTTCCTACCCTTTTATTTAGCATATGATTCAAGCCGGGACGTTTTGGAAAAGGATTGGGATAGCAATTGCATTCTGGGTCTGTTTTGTGTTTATCTGATCACCACTCTATAATGAACCTTAATTTATACAGTCAAACATGCCCACACTTAAAGCACTTTGGGAATATCCATCTAAGTCAATTTGTCCCATGCGCAGAATGTATTGCTATATAGCTGAGCCCTCTACGTTCCATAACGTAGCGGTTTGGGACGAGGGGATATTCCAACATGATCTGAGTGCCTTATCCGTGGAGGGATACGACCACCTACAAGTTGGCCGTATTCTTATTCTATACCAAGAGAAGAGAAAAAGGTAAATTTTGAGGAGATAAGATGATACGCATCACCAAAGTGCGGTATAGGTGTAGACCGGATGAGCGGGCTATCCCCAAGAACCACCTGCTACGGGTCCGGATCTGAATCACCAAACCGAGAGGCCTCTTAGTAACTGGTTAGAAATGCTACGCCTAGATCTTGGCTCTTTGCGTACGTGCTGTTGCGTCTCGCCAACGTAGCTCATTTCTGTCTTTGAAAATGGTAGGGGCGAGGAGGGCTAACGGAGTTGGTGGGTTACGGTACGCGCTATGGGGTGGCTAGGAAGACAACACGGTCGTAGTAGGTTGGGCAAGTCTCTAAGTCTTTCGGGAGAGGAAAGGAAAAGAAAGATCAAGAAGCAAGAGGCGAGTCTTTGGAAGAGGCCTTCACTACTTTAACCTGGTGGCAGAGGATACTGACTCCTCAGTGAAGTTGTGGATGCGCGTGGGTTTGGGCGGGGAGCGTCCGCTAATGAGTGTGAGAAGGTAGAAATCGTTCAAGAGTTCGTGGCAAGGCCTCAGGGTTGCCCTTATGTATTGCTATCCTTAGAGGCCTGTTCCATCCTGTGGCTTCATGAAGACAAGCCTGAAGAGAGGGAAGGGGGCTAAAAAGAGAAGAAGAACATATAGGCATCCTCAAGGAGACATATATGCAACAGTGGATGTCTCTCTACTAGGCACAGCCAAAAGATGTATGGCTGGGGTTACGCCTCTCTAGGTAGGGGTAGCTTGTTTAAGACTTGCTTGAGGCTGGGGGAGTGTCTCGTGAGCTGGTAGGTAGGACGGAAGGGGGTCGCAAGGGGAGCAGAGGGGACGGGCATAAGACGGTCCATATGCGTTGCTCTGTTTGCTGCACCAGGATAGTTTAGGTGGCAGAGGGGAGGGAGGCAGGCGATGGGCACTTAGGAAGGCGCATGGGAATTCTTTGTGGAACGATGGCCTCCTCCGTTTTTAAAAGAGGTGACGGCAAGGAATCTCTGTTTGGTATCGTGAGAGGAGGAAGAGTGCTATGAATGTTCAGAGAAGTAAGGGTCTTGCTCTAGTGCTAGGGTTGCACGATGGTATGGGGGAAGGGGAAGTGCTAGGGGTGACTAGATCGTGCTGTGGCTGTAAACCATGAGGGGATGGTTGCCATACATGAGATTACTTGGTTTGTCTGTCGAGGTACTACTACGGTACAACCATCTCGATGATGGGCCGTTCGTTGCGTCTGGCTTGAGCTACCGAGACGCGGGCCTGAAGCCTCCATCAGTCCCTTGGGGTTGTTGGGTGAAGAACCCATGACGCAAGACACAGCAGAGAGCATGGTAAGTAAGAAGCACGATGAATGATGGGATGTGCTTGCTTGATTCTTAATATTTTCATTTGCCTGCCTTGATCCTTGTACATACAGGCCAGCAAGGCAATGCCATGCAATGCAAGAGTCAATCGCACAAAAATCGAAGAGACCCTTCCTCTTAGACTCCGCCAGGCCACATAAAAAGGAGAAAAATAAGGGTGGCGCAAACAAAGCATACCAAGTTTCCGAAACCGGCCCTGATTTTTTAGTTGGCTGAGGTATCCCGGGTCCTCTGTCCGTCGAGGACCAGCCCAACCCAGCACTTTTCCACGTCGCTCCCTCCGCTCCAAAGCCTCTTGTCCTCCACCCACCACATGATGGATATATAGACACACCGTTTAACGGTAAGACTTCTGGTACCTGGCACGGGCACCGGGACCACCGAACTTCTTGGGCTCGCAGCGGCGGTTGTCGGCGACGAGGAGGGTTCGGTCGAACTGGACGAGAGCCTGCTTGAGGAGGTTCTTGGAGTGCTCGTCGACGTACTTCTGGTAGTAGGCGATCAAGGCCTTGGCGATGGCCTGTCGGATGGCGTAGATCTGAGAAGTGTGACCACCACCGGTGACGCGGACACGGATGTCAACTATGACACGTCTGTTAGCACAAAACCCCAAGACACATATGCAACTCGTAACATCGTCACGTTCATCCGACGAGGCGCGTATTGAGGGCTTCGCTGGCTGTTCCACTGGGCTGCCCAAAATCCGACACCCTAGTCATTGCCAAAAGAGCAAGATATAGGGTAACTGAAAAACACCAAAGCCGTGAAGGTCGGTCGGGAGCCGGAGAACAAGACGGGGAAGTATTCTGTATAGAAGAGAGGGAACTGGCTGATGTACCTTGCGCGAACTTGTCGAGGCCGAGGACGAGGAGGGGCTCGTAGACCTTGTAGCGGAGGATGGCAGGCTGGACGCTGTATTGCAAAGGCACGGTCAGTAGGTTGTTCGGGAACACAAGAGGGAGCCCTTTATTTCATTCTTGGGGTATCGGAAACAACTCACAGCTGGAGAGGACGACCGTTGACCTTGATGATGGGGGTAGGACCACGGCGAGGCTATATTTCCGAAAACAAAAAATGTCAGCACTTTGTTCCTCCGAGTAAAGCAGTCCTTCACCCAGGCCCTCTCGTTTTCTCAATCATTTCCCGAAAGCGCGTCTCACGATCCACCTCGTTCTCGAGCGCCATATCGATCGGTTGCTCGTTCGGGGGAAACGACATCAGGGCCTTGGTGAGGCAGCAGGACGCGGGGAGGTCCTTACGCCGCATTGGGCGACAGCGGTAGCCGTCTTCTTCTTGCCGAAGCACTGTACACTCTGAGGGGCCGACATGATGGGTGGTTGTTTGGCGAGTTGTGATGTCGACTCGAATTGGGTGTGGTAGGGCTTTTGGTGAAGGGGAACGGGGGCGGGAATAATTCGAAAATGGGATGCCGGTACGCAAGATTTCACCAACGGGGCACAGGTCACGGGCTCCAGATTTTTCGCACAGCTTCAGGACTTTTCGCTTGTGGTGGCATTCGTGGGGCTCAGGGTTGGCAGGCAGAAAAACAACTAGACGAGTTTTCCCACGGTTGTCCCGACACGTGACTTGGTTCGGCCCGCTTTGAGTCGACATCTTCGGAAGGTTCCGTCTAGGAGTTTTTGGCATTCGTGAAGTGGGGGAAGTAGAGTGTGGTGTTTATGTCAGCATCCCTCCCCCATTCACATCCACATGGAGCAAGTGCGGGACCAGTGTTCCACTCGACATTTGAGCTAGGCCGCTGCTCCTTTGACATCATCTCGTTGGTCCTCGAGTGAACTGGACCGCCCCTCCAGCTCCATGCATCCGCGCTTTACAGATCCCCTTTAGACGCTTTCTCTTTCCTCTCTCTTTTTATTTTCACGTCTCTTCCCGCAGGAACCCACAGACACCATGTCAAGAAAGGGCGTTGGCATCGGCGCCTTTGACCGAAGCCGGCTCACATCGGCGCAATTCGCCTCCAAAGGCACGACCCTCCGCACCGCCAACGCCCAAGCCCTCGACGCCCAGCTCTCGGTCTTCCGCTCCCTCCTCCAGCAATTTGCGCAAACTCACGCCAAGGACATTCGCTCGAACCCTTCCTTCCGCGCCCAATTTGCCCGCATGTGCGCCGCCATCGGCGTCGACCCACTCAGCGCTTCTTCTTCCTCCGGCTCCTCCTCCTCGGCCGCCGGGTCTTTATGGTCGCAGCTCCTAGGGCGGACCGTCAACGACTTTACTTTGAGCTCGCCGTGCGCGTTGTCGAGGTCTGCGGCGAGACGAGGGGCGAGAATGGCGGGCTCATTGGCTTGCGGGAGGCGAGTGAGAGGATCAGCAAGGCGAGGGGCGAGGGCGCGAGCGCCATCACGGAAGATGACGTCCTCCGTGCCGTCGAGACGCTGAAACCCCTAGGATCGTCCTATAGCATTATCCACGTCGGAAGTAAACCATACATTCGGTCCGTGCCGCGGGAGCTTAACACGGACCAAAGCTCCGTCCTCGAGGCAGCCCAGGTTTTGGGCTACGTGACTGTTGAGATGTTGGTTGTCAACCTGGATTGGCCTCAGGCCAGAGCGCAAACCGCGATAGAGGACCTCATGAGCGACGGCATGCTTTGGGTGGACAAGCAGATCCGGCCCTGGGAATACTGGAGCCCAGGCTTCATGGTAGACGTGGATGAGACGAGCTTGCAACTACCGTAGGCATTGTGTTTAATGACGGTATGAGGACCGGTGGCACATGGTCGCATTCTACTCTAGGAAGCTCACGGACACGGAAGTCCGGTGGCACACCGGACAGCAGGAGCTCTCGTCATTGTGGAAAGCCTAGAGCAGTGGTATTATTACCTCGCGGATAGCCCGTTCATCACCCCAACAGATTACTAAGCCCTGAAGGGATCGCGGCTCTGGCGAAGGATCTGCCAGCACTCCACGGGGAGTAGTGAGCGATAAAGGATCTATTTCACAAGTCAATTCTGGGCGGAATTCTGCAAGACCCGGGGTGCGTTGCGGCGGATATCCACCACGCTCCATCCGCAGACGGATGGCCAGACAGAGCGTGCAAACTCCGCGACGCTGGCGATCCTGAGAAAGTTATACAAAGAGGTGAAGGTAGTGGGGGTAAGGGAAAGAATGGAGTACTTACGGACAGTCTGGAGACGGGTCGCAGAGCATTGGGAGAGCACGATCCGGGACCAACAAAAGTACTTCAACAAAACAGGCGGGATGTCGAATTCCAGCCTGGGCAAGCCGTAGCCCTAGCTACGAAGAATTTCCCTTTCAAGGCTACAGCACGAAAATTAGCCCTCACCTATATCAGGGTGAAAGTTCGCGAGAAAATCAACAAGAACGCCTATATCCGCGTTCGACTTCAAACTAGAACACCGATCAGGGATCGCCAACCCAGCGGACGGATTGTCACGTAGGCCCGACTACACGAAAGAGGAACCGGACCACCGGGCTGTGGCCGGAGAGCTGGCGGCGAAGCTGGGCTTCACGCACGGAACGCAGGTCTGTTGGGTGGATATGATCCCCAGTAAACAACGCAAGACGCGAAAGGCCCACTTGCTGGCGGTAACAAGGCAAGCCACTCAGTTGGAGAGGACCCCGAGGTGGGAAGAACCGTGGGAAGTACAGCTAGCAAACTCCCAGACGTTATCAAGAAGGGCACACACAGACTCGGTTGGCATATTAGAGGAACGGCGTTTGCAAGCATTGTTCAATGTACTCGCCAGACAAAAGGGCGAAGAGCATTGGTGCGGTAGACTTAGATTCACAAACGGCTCCTGGGCGAACAGGCTTAAATCATAAGAAGAAGAAAAGACATGAATTTCAAACTAAACGCAACGGAAACTAGAAGCAACGAGACCAAAACCCTCAAGTCCAAGAGTGCTCCCAATCCCTTGTTCTTTTCCAAACCAAAACCACCCATGCCCCCCCAAAGGATCCCCTGAGTATTATACACCGAGAAAAGAGAGAGACGAAAAACAATCCATATCGCCCGGACAGGGAAGAGCAGCAAACATGACAAGAACAAAAAGAAGCTGGACGAAACTGAAGCGCATACTTTCCGAAAAGCTAGCTCTTCAAGAAATGGAGGAAGAAAAAAACAACAATAGGAGAGCTCCCAGCCCTGCAGCATGAAAAGGGAAGAAGAAGACTTGATCAAAAAAGGGGAGGAAAAGGGGGAGAGGGCCAAGAAAATGCAGCACTAATCAATATGCCCGCGTATTATACAAAACATTCATCATATACGTCCGAATCGCTACTTTTTTTTCCCCGGTCACCATCTCGCGGAAAAGAACTCGCGTCTCTCACTAGGCTGCTTGAGCCATGATACGCGCGAAAAAAACTAGCGCATCTCAGGTATGTCATTCGGGTCCGAGACGCTCCTCTGCCTCTCAGTCCGGGTATCATCTTCCGACGACCCGCCGTCGTCGTCTCCATCCACCCCGTCCGCATCCTCCTCCTCGAAGACGATTTGCCGCAGAACCCCTTGTGGAACAGCTCGGTCACGACCTTGCGGATGGGCAACCGATAGTGGTTGTACTCCAAGAGGGCCATGACCTGTCTGAAAAGCCGCACAGAGGTGAAGCCCCTCGGCGCAGCTGCTTTACTTGCACGAGCTCGCTCATGGCGCGTTTGAAGAGAACAGAGTTGCTCAGATCCACGACGAGGTCAAGCACGCGCTGGTTCACGGCGTCGTCGCCGTGGTCGGTGAGCTGCTCCAAGGGCTCGAGAGGCGGCCGTGTGGGCATGGGCGGCGGCGCAACCCTCTCCGTCCTTTGGGAATCTGGGAGAGCTACATTAACGACCCTCTCCGATCTCCAGGGGACAAGAGAGAAGAACTTGGCCACGTCAACGGGAAGGCAGAAGCCGAGGGAGCGGCCCAGGGCGTTGGTATTGGCGTCCCAACCGTTCTCATACAAAATTTCCAAGCCATGGACGGACCTGGATATCAAGCCGAGGACAAAAAGGCCGTGCCGCGCAGGCTCATAATCTCATGAGACTGGGCAATCTTGACGATCTGCTCGACCACGTCACTCGACTCGATGAACGGCGCCCCAAGCTCCATGGAGCCAACGTTTCCGACCGCCCACATGCATCCCTTAACTTTGGTGATGAGCTCTGAGTCCTCCGACTGCATGCCGTACTCGCGGATCGTCGATGCGAATTCGTCAAAGTGGCCTTTGTCACTTAAAAGCTTACAGCCTTCTTGGGTACGCGTCAACTCGCGGTAAAAATGCGGTGGCACGTGGGCGTCGGCGAAATCGCCCACGGCACCTTCGTCAAACAAACTCATGCGGTTTTGGTGATCATCGGGGCTGTCCATGAATGCACGAGCAAGACTAGCCTCGATGAGGCTCACATACGAGTCGTTACGGCCGAGAAACCAATCATCCATCTCGTTGCTGATGTAGTCTAAACCGTCCAGGTACTTGTACCCGATGGAGGTAGAAAGGAATCGTAGCAGCAGGGGTGCCCCGATCTCGCCGAGATGGTCGAGTGAGGGTCGGCACTCGACGATATACTCCAGATACGTCTTTCGGTTGCAGGCTTTCTCGAGGATCTTGATCGCGGTGGAGCACACCTCGATTTCCGGGTCATACAACTGGGTTACGAGGAGTTGAATGGCCCACTTTGAGTCGGCCACCGCATCTTGGGAGGAGAGGGGACGGATCGCATATTTCCGCAGGGTATTTGTGGCGTGAATGCGGATATCCATAGTCCCGCCCGTCAAGGCTTTTGAGAGAAGGACGCGGGGATGGCCATTGATGCTGTAATCGAGGTTGGCAAGAATCAACTTGATGAGGTCAGGACGCTGTTTCAAATCCACAATGTGATACATCATGTTGAACATGCGCCACCTATCAAGGAGAGCGAGGCCCTTTGGGTCGCCGCTGAGAACCCCAACCATGGCAAAGTACCCACCGCACAGGGTGTCGATGAGCCTGTCCTTGGAGAACATGGGAAATTGCGCAGGGTATCCGGTCGCCTAGGTGAGCGGAGCAAGAATGTTAGTGATGTGCCCAAACACAAGAAAGGGGGCAGGTGGTTCGGGAGAGAATGGGAGGAGGCAGGGAGGGGAGAAAGGACTGTACCGGATCACATTGGGCAAGGCATTCGGCTATCTGCTTGAGTAGCTTACTCTCGGCAAGAAACCGAAGGCCTTCGGGCGACTGCATGAGGGAGTGCATCAACGCGCACCCGGCGCGGACGTACTTTTGCGTATTCCTCGTGCTCTTGAGCTCGGAGAACTTGTACTTGAAGGGCCGGTAAAAGCTAATGATGCGTTTGAGGAACTTGGAGGCCTTGACGGCTTCTTCGAGGCGCTTGCCGCTCTGGAGGGGCCTTCGAAGATGCGCATGACCACGTCCCAATTCCATTTTGAGTGGTTGAGCTTGTGAGGACGCCGCTGTCGATGAGCAGCTGGCGGAAGGTGGTGTCATCGGTGACAACTGCCGAGTTGGCCTTGGGATGGTCATCCATCACATCCCCGTAGGCGTTGGCCTGCATCAACCCGCCGCCGGATCCGGAGGGCGAGGTGCGATATAATGTCTTGCTCACACTGCTGATTTGATAGACGGTGCCCGTGGCATTGAAGTGCTCGTCGTTGTCAAATTGCGTCGCGGCGGCGAACAGCTCGGGCAACAGCTGGAGTTCGCTGCTCCAGCTCGGAAGCAGGAGCTTGCTGGAGAGCTTGAGGACTTCGCCTAGCAAAAGGGTCGTCTTGCGCTTCAGGGTCGGGTTGTCGTACGTCTGCGTAAGTTTGAGAAGCACCGGCAAAAGGTTGGATCGGATAAAAACAGTGAGCAGGAGAGCGGTGTAGTGCTCGACGAAATTTTGCTCCCCAGAATCCTCGTCCGCTGGGGCATGGGAGTTTGCCTTGCCCACCGCCCCTCTCAGAGACGTGACTCTCCCGTACGTGGTTAAACGGCGGCCTGCGAGATACGACTGGGCCCAGCCGGGAGACTTGATCCGCAGCAGAGAGTAGATGAGGTCAATGACGGTCTCTTTGACGATGAGAGAAGGGTACAGCATGCACTCCACAAAAGACTTGACAGTGCGGAATTCGTACATGGACAAGGCCATGAGGCCGGGCCAAGTCTTCAGGGCGGCCGCGATAGCTTTGGCGTTTTGCTTCAGCAGGCCTTCATTCTCGAGAAGCTGGTCTGTGAAGGGACTAAATAGCGACTCTATGCTGTAGCCGGGGTGGAGATACTTTCGCTTGTTTGGCGAGTCGAGTAGGAACAAGAAGGCAGCGGTCAGCCCCTCCGGCGCCTTGTACGTGCCCTCGGAAAGGGCGTCATACAGCGGAGCCAGACCGCCCGAGGCAAGGAGAAGGGGAGGATCCCGAACAAGGATCTCGGCGAGGGTCTGGATGCAGATAGGCCTCAGCCTGTCCTCGCGGTCCATGGGTGCCTCGAGGGCGGCCCGCGAACCGGACCTGTCCTCTCCGTGCTCAGCAAGAGCGGCGATTGCTCGAACTACGGCACGGGATATCTCCTTTACGCCATCCTTCACATCGAGGAATGCGCGCATGAACTTCAAAGCCTGCTCTCTCTCTACATCGGCTTTGCGATCCTTGATGAGAGAGGTGACAACGAGATAATCCGTGTTGAGCGTCCGAATCTTTCGCAAAGAGGTGATATCCGAGACGGCGTAGCGCAGGACCCGATAACCAGCGGCGACCACCTCCCGACTGTCGCTCAGGAGCATGACCTGGATGCGGAGTCCAAACACGGACCATACAAGGTCATATTTGAGAGTTGGGTGTCGCTTAAAGAGGTCCACCAGAGAGTTCGCCCTGCTCACGTAGTAATCAGGGTCATGCGCTCCGCCTCCAAGGCCTGGAGCAGCTCGGTCAGCGCAAAGGTGGGAGATTCCGTAGCCTCTTCCAGATCAGAGGCGGCCCCGCTGCGAGAAACACTCGGCGGGGAGCGAAGGCCATTGCTACTCAAGAGACCGTCGGCGGTCCGCTGTCTCGTCGGGGTAGTCGGGGGCTGGGGCGTCCGGGTCCGGTTTTGGGCATCTGAAATCTTTTGGCGCAGCTCCTTGATCTTCAAGTTTGACGAGTTGAGCTCCGCCTCGACGCGCGCCCGCTGCTCCTTGGACTGCTTGGCCTTTTGTTGTTCAAGGCTTCGAGCATGTTCTCGCTGCCCTCCTTGATCTTCATCTCGCGGTTGAGGGCTTCCCTCAGGCCGGCGAGGTTCTTTTCCGCCATGGACTCATTTTCGTCGGGGACCTTTGGGTCTCTCGAGTAGCTTTCGGCCCTCGAGGGGCTCGCTGGGCGGGGTTGTGGACGCGAAAGTCGCTGCTGAAGCTCCCGGGCCGGGATTGGGATTGAGGGAGGAACCGCGGGGTGCGAAGCTCACGCCAGAGGCGGTGGTGATGCGCGATGCGCTGAGGAGGGCGGGGGTTGGAGGCCATTGTTCTCCCGCTGGTGGTCGAGGCTCGGTCGGGAGGCGTTGGCGGTCGAGAGTTGTTGGGGCGGGTAGGCCTTCTGGGTAGGCGTGCCGGCGCTGCTCAACATGGCGAACGGGGGCCAGACCTCGTGGCTAGAAGTCCACCCGAGACGGTGTTGCCCTCTGAAAGCCCCTTCGACATTCGCTCGACTAGGTCATTCGCATCAGATCGCCACCATAAAGGGGATTCGTTTGAGGGGGAAGGGGTTTCGGCGAATGGAGTAGAAATGGGAGCAGTAAAGGTGGAGGCAGTGGGTGGTGCGGAGTCGCAATGGATGGTGTCGGTTGTCGAGCCAGTCGTTTCGTTGGAGAAGGGGACGCAATTGAGGAGATGGTGTGTGTGCACAAATTCTTGTCTCGCATGCCTCGCCTTCTTGAATTCCAGGCGATGAGGTCAGAGAAGGGCGATGGCTGGCGTTGGGGCTCGAATGGCTCGAATGCTATTCAATGCCAGCAGGGGTCCAACAGTTGAGGATGAATTGGTTCGGAGAGGTGGCTTAAGTGATGAGGGTGGGAGCGTTTGTGTGGCGCTGCAACGCTTGTGCTCCGTCTGCATGTGGATAGTTGGTGGATAGTGGGTGGTGGATAGTGGATAGTGGATAGACAAGGGTTGCCCGTTTCAAGCTGTGCTGTGCTGTGGGAAGAGAAGACCGGACTGGCATAAAAACACCACCACTTGGAAGGAGCTTGCAATTTCACTGGAGAGGAATGCAATATTGCATGGATGTATTCAAGAGAGCAGCCTTGTTACTTTCGATGCTTGAACATGATCAATTGGTCCATTTTATCTATCTATCAGTGTCGCTGGTATATATGAGAGAGAGAGAGAGAGAGAGAGAAAGAGAGAGTGAGAGAGAGGCAACAGGATCTCGATTCAGGAGCCAAGGAAGCTTGAACTTGTTAGCTTGACAACTTGAGGTCCTGATATAATGGTTTCACGGGTGATACGAAGTATTAATCTGGCTCTGCTTTTGCTACCCCGGGTTTGTTGAGATGTAGACCGGCTGCTGTATGCAAAAGTGCTATGTAGGCTCGATGGCCTGTCTTGCTTTCTTCCATTAAAGCAGGCCAGCACAGTGGAACCAAACACGCCTATCCAAAGCAGGTGAGTTCTGCCAATGAACTCGACTATCTGGTGTCAGGGATCGCTATCACCCTCCAAATCATATACACACCATGCAGCAGGAGTGAACAACGGTCGGGCTCAGCCATCCCTACATTACGCCGGTCCTCCACGGAGCTGGAGAGGGGTTAAAGGGAGTGGAGGGCCAGACAGGCAGCTAATGAAGGCTAGTGTGGACAGGGTAGGAGCTACGCTTCAGCACGGGATATCAATTGATCGATGGGATCCAAAGGATACAAAGATGGAAGCGCCCGCTCTCTTCCCTAGTGTCCCTACGCCAGGAAGCTGATGAGAGAATGCATACCAAACTCGCTATGCTGACTGGCCCCGACCCATCGTCGAGGAGGAAAGCCAAGATCGAGAGGCTGGTCGAGCCCACGGGCGACCAACAGTTCAACAACCATTTTCCTGGAGGAGGTTCAAAATGCAGTAAAGCGGGGTGGTATTCTCCATGTAGATTGCTAGATCCATTCAATTGACGCACCGAATACAGAGCCGCGTCTAACCTTGTGGAGGGATGGTGCATGCACACATAGTACTCGGATCCAAGTGGGAGCTTCGGCCAAGAGCATGGATTGCCCTCGACGCACCCAGTCTTCAAGTCATGTTAGCTTCCTCATTACTCTACGATTCTAACCTCTTGAACACTCTTCTCGTTGAGTTGGGGTCTCGCCTTTCTTGTCTCGCCTTTCGTCCCCATTCTCGCCCACCCACCCCTTCTGCTTGCTTATGGGGAACAAGGAAGCATGTGTTCGAAAAGAAGAAAAAATGGCAGATGCAGGTTTTACATGTGAACGTGTCCAACTCTTGCAGCAACCGTGAGAAATAAGTCAAGGTTGCAATGGATGGTGTGCAATGGTGCAATGGTCCAAGTTGACCGACAACAAACGCAGCTTACCCAAGTGTTGACCCCGCGCAGAGCTCAACAGGAATAAGATCAAATTGATGGCACCGGATCCGACCTGTTTGTGTTCATCTGCCCAAACAAGTGGGACAGAAGGGCAGGCTAGGCTTTGCCCGGTCAACCTTCTTGCCTTGACGCTCACTTCGCCGCTCTCCGGAAAGCCTTGCGTTGCTCGGAATTCTCCATTCTTTCCTTTTCATTTTTCTTCTTCTTTTTTTTTTTTCGGTGGAGAAGAGATTCCACATAAATCCGTTTTCGCTATCGAATCGAGGTCGTGGAGTAATGTTGTCTCACGTCGCAATTGCAAGAGAATTCTGTCAAGACCCGCGAAATCTCAGCTGCCCCACCATCCATAGTCCCATTTTTATCAGTCTCTGAACACTCGGAAACAATGGACCCAAATGTCAAACGAGCGCAAGGGGGTACGAGGGTTGGAACGGGGATCGGGTTTCCGTGTTGGTGTTGTCCCCTGCCCTTTCCTAATCCAAGTTCGCGGTGCCTCCTGTCTTCAATGGCCTTGACGATTAAAACCAAGTGGAGAAGTTTGGCGGGGAAGTACAGCCTGACGCAAGACCAGGCCACCTGCATCTTTGACTGATTGTGCTCCCCCGCCGTTATCAGTGCCCCTCGGCTTCCATTTGTGGGTGGGAGTCGGCGGTCTCCGACTCCGTATCCTCCGCACTCCGCCAGTTCGATAGCCTTTGGCCCAATCTCTGGCGAATCAAGCCTCGCTGTGGGGGAAGCTAGCCGCAAACTCTCCCATCACTACGGCTCCTTCGCAGCACGGATTGCCCTTTGACTTGCTGTCTGTCTCTGCGTCGAGGGTGTCGCCGCATTGCTACGACGTGATGGGAACTGCTCCGTCGAATTTTGGATAGCGCGTGCTGGGATCCATTCCTATCCTAGACGCAAGCCTATAGGGAGTTGTACACATCCATAGATGCATCCATGCCATGGATGTATATACATGAAGCTATATATATATATAGCTCTCGATGCATCGCCATCCGTCCATCCACCTATTCTTGACGTTGTCGTCTTACACAGCTAATCCTCCTCATCATTGCCTGTTTCCCTTGCTGCTCTTTTTTAAACTTTAGTCCCCTTTCGCCACAACTACTTCTGCGAGCCAATTTTCCGCGACTTCTTTTTTTCTCTTCTAAACCTTCTCCTTGTAGAAAACTCGTGCATCCCTTGTGAGCATTCCTTTCTCGGGAGTCTTGAGCTACCCTGCCTTTGACGAAAAAGTTTCCCCCCCAATGTCCGCTCTCCCCATCCGCACGCAAACCTCCACCTCCAAGATGCCCACCCTCTCCGCCGCCCGCTACGGCAAGGACAACGTCCGCGTCTGCAAGGTCAGCAAAGACCCCGCCACCGGCATCCACACCGTGACCGAGATGACCGTCTGCTGCCTCCTCGAGGGCGACATCGCCACCAGCTACACCGAGGCCGACAACAGCGTCGTCGTCGCCACCGACTCCATCAAGAACACAATCTACATCAAGGCCAAGGAGCACCCCGTCGACCCCCGGAGCTCTACGCCAGCCACCTCGGCGCCCACTTCCTCGCCAAGTACCCCCACATCCACGTCGCCAACATCAAGGTCGTCACCCACCGCTGGGCCCGCATGACCGTCGACGGCAAGCCCCACCCCCATTCCTTTTGGCGCGACGGCCACCACACCCGCGACGTCGAGGCCAGGGTCTCCCGCGCCGACGGCATCCGCCTCGTCAGCGCCATCTCCGGTCTTAGCGTCTTCAAGAGCACCGGCTCCGCTTTTCACGGCTTCGTCCGCGACGAGTACACCACCTTGGCCGAGACCAACGACAGGATCCTGTCCACCGACATCGACTGCACCTGGTCCTGGGCCTTTGCCGACGTCAAGGCCGTCGAGGAGGCCCAGGCCCAGTTCAACAAGGCCTTTGACGACGCGAGCGGCATCTGCATCAAGACTTTTGCCGAGGATGAGAGCGCCAGCGTTCAGGCCACCATGTACAAGATGTGCGAGCAGATTCTCGACGCTGCTCCCGGCGTTCGCACCGTCTCCTTTTCTCTTCCTAACAAGCACTACTTTGAGATTGGTAGGTCGAAGCCCAACCCATCCCATGTTTCCCCGGTGCCTCCCTGCAGGGCCCCCCTTTTGCGTAACTACGCTCCCCTCCTTCAAGGATTCATTGCTAATCGTACGTTACCTGCAGATCTAAGCTGGCACAAGGGCTACCAGAACACCGGCAAGGATGCCGAGGTGTACGCTCCCCAATCCGGCCCCAATGGCCTCATCAAGTGCGAGGTCTCGCGGTAAAGCAATTTCAAGCAATCTCTCCTGGCTTGTCCGTAGCGTAGCTTTTCTTCCTGTCTTTCCTTCTTCTTCTTTTTCTTGTATCACCCCCTTCCAGAAAGCTCTCTCTCTCTCTTTTCTTTCGGGCCGTCTTTGGTTTCCTTCTTTTGTTATCAAGAAGAGTTCCTGGAATCGCATCTTATAAGCATATATTCTTCTTTCTCGCAAGTTAGTTACCCCATAGATCAGGATCAATATCACGACGCGACGTCTCCATTGATAAGTTGCGGTGCCTCTCCTCGTAGTGGTGAAGTTGTGCGCGAGGCCTCGGACGCTTGCAAGGTGACGTCAAGGCCCTCATACATTTTCGTACGAGTAGGGTAGTTCGAGGCTCGTAGTTTTGCCTGTGTTCTTGTACCTCACCAGGGCTTCTCGATAGTGGCTATACAACGATAATAAGGACTTTAAGAATCGAGAGCGGGCAGAGAAAAAGAAAGGTCGTACGAGAATTGGGAATGCCGGCTCTATTGTAATCGAGCATTAACTATACATGATGATATACAACGCAACGCCTACTCTTGCCACAGTACACTCTATACTCCTTCTCCCGCATGCCACGATGTCCTCATAATCACCCTCCGTCGTCGTCGTCGTCAAAACGCACATTTATATCCTCGCATCGCTCGACGCCCTAATGGCCTTGGCAACCTCCCTCCAGCCCTCCTCGCCCACCGTCTTGTCGCCCACCTTGATAACGTTCTTCTTGTACGGGTGCGCGGCGCCGTCAAACGCCTTGAGCCTCGCCAGCCTCTTGTCCCTTAGCCTGTTCTTGGGCAGCATGCCGCTGACGGCCCTCCGCAAGATCTCGCTCCCGCCAAACTTGTCCATGAGAACGTCCATCGTGACGGCCTTGAGCGAACCGGGCCGCGTGTTGTGTCGGTAGTACGTCTTTTGCCACTTTTGCGGCCCGTCGTGTACAGCGCCGCGCAGTCCGTCACGACCACGTAGTCGCCGCAGTCCGTGGAGGGATCCCACATGGGCTTGTGCTTCCCCATGAGAAGGACGGCGATGCGGCTGGCGAGCCGGCCGAGGGACGGGGGCGTGGTGCCGTTCTGGGTGGAGAGAGTCGGGTGGAGGGCCTTGGCCGAGACCTGGTGCCATACTCGGGAGTAGGCCAGTTGCGTCTGTCATCGTGAGTATTAGTATGGGTAACCCTCTCGAGGAGAAACAAAATTCTCCGTCTTAAGCTTTCGCATCTTTCCATATCCAAGTCGCTATCGCTAGTGGGAGAATGGAGGCCGGCGTGGGAAAGGGGAGTTGGGAGGGGGTGCGTACAGGGCCAATGACTTGTGACATTGTGGGCAGACCCACGGGAACCGACTATCTGCTTAGAATCGAATTCGTGATGGCCCCCGTAAGTGGTCGTCGTGATGGAAGCCCGTCGGTTTCGCTGTCAATTGGAGGAGGTAGGGCGCGCCGCGTCGTCGTCGTGTTCACTAACCCTTTTTTGCTTCTCGCTTTTCTGGATCGCCTCACTTGTCTTGCAGCTCCCATTGAAAAATTCAAGATGGCTGACTAAGGTGAAAGGGAGCTGCACAATGAGTGGATCACGCTTTGTGAGGCTCTTGAGGCACGGCTCGTGTCATGTGATCAGCAGGATTATAGTAGTGCCATGGACCGACGAGATGACTAATAGTGTGATCCGTGCCATGATCAGAGAGCTCAATGGGGCCTTCAAGGCCGAATAGCACGACTGATGAGCTTCCAGCACACTTCTTCGCCGCAAACCTGAGGGTCCGAGCACCATTGAGCTCACCAAGCCAGGCCTATCAATCACCTCATCCCGGGCGTTGGCAACATTGAAGCTTCAAATTGAATTGATCAACAATTGAAGGTCTTTTTAGCGGGGCGACATCACTAATACTCTAGTCATCTACTCGTAGCGGGCAAGGGGCCAAGAACATAGGCACGGCACACTGAAGCATCTAGTGTTGTGAAAACCCGTGCGACGGCAGACGTTTGGCTTGCTTGCCCATTGATGAAAAAAAGTGGTGCCCGCCAATGGTGGCGCCGTCTCCACGGAAAAGTATCGCAATTGCGCCGGAGGAGGGTGGATTACAAATTCCAAAACTGTTAGGGTATTAGAGACGAGAGCGATTTCGAGGATGAAGCGATTCGTGAGAGCCATCCTCGAAGCCGCAACATCGTCAACATCGTGGAGCGCAGGTCCCTCAGTGTCATCGCTCCGTAAAAGACCCATCTTGTGCACCGCCGTCGTCGGCATATTGCCCGCTGCTTTGCTCGCTCATTCCATTTACAAGTACAAGGTGAAGGACGCCACCCCCACCACAAGTTTCGTCGGCCGCATCAGATCCACGGGCACCATGTCTATCACGGAACCCTTTCAGGTGAGTTGAGCATGCTGTGCAATTCCACCCTTTTTTTCTCCTCCTCTTCTTTTTCTCTTTTCTTTTCTCCCTCAAATGATTCTTCTTTCTCCGGCGCTCAAGGAACGAAATCAGGTGTTTTTCGGCCCCTGATTCGCAAGTTCTGTGCAGAGAAGGGTAGTGCTGATCTCTGAAACTCGAAACGAAAGACCCTCTTCGCGGTGCCTATGAAGTGCGAGGCCTGCGTCAAGGACGTTTCAGATACTCTCCACAAGCTTCAAGGTATTTCCAAGGTTGAGGCAAACCTCAAGGACCAGCTTGTTCTCGTAGAAGGCACAGGTGCGTGAGCGTGAGCGTGAGCGCAAGCTCTCTTTACCCCCTCCCTCTTTCCCAGCGCCAGCGCGGGCGGCCACCTTGACGTGAGAAGTTGAGGGCGTCCTCTCCAGCGGCCGTCTCGAGCGAGGTGCGGCATCGTGGCTCCCGGACATCTTTTGTGGAACTGACGTTGATACATGGCCCACATCTAGCTGCTCCATCTACCATTGTGAAAGCCATACAATCTACGGGCAAAGATGCTATCCTTCGAGGATCTGGCGCCGCCAACAGTAAGTACTCGCCTGCCGTTTGCCTGCCTCCCAACTCCTGAGTTCGTGAGTTGTGGGTTTTCCTTGAGCGCTTTCCCTTTTGCTTCATACGTAATACATCTCTTCCTTTTCCCACGCCGTCAAGACGAGAACCATGCGTCATATGTTTGGACTTGGGACTACCGTCGCACACGAGACTCACCTAGCGAGCAAAAATTATAGGTGCTGCGGTGAGCATCCTAGAATCTTTCTACGAGCCTCAGAATGGGGACTCACGGGAGGCTCCGGGGACAAAGCGGAATGTGAGGGGTTTGGCAAGGATGGTCCAGCTATCTCCGACACTTACGCTAGTAGATCTGGCCGTCAGCGGTGTGTCAGCCGGATCGTACCGAGCTACGATACGGGAGTACGGCGATCTCAAAGATGGCGCCACATCCACGGGGCCCGTCTGGGGTTCCGCCTCGTCCGAGGCAAGCAATGCATCGGTAGGCGAAGCCAAGGGCTTCCTGGGCACCATCGACGTTGATCAAGATGGCCAGGGCAGCGGGTTCCTCACGCACCCTTTCCAGGTGTGGGAAGTTATCGGCCATGCCATGGTCTTCACCCGGCAAGACGACGCCGCTGGTTCTCTGAAGAACGACGAGGATACCCTGACGGGCATTGTCGCCAGGAGCGCGGGTATATGGGAGAATGATAAGACCGTGTGCTCTTGCTCCGGAAAGACGCTTTGGGAGGAGAGGCAAGACGAAGTGAAGAAGGGTATGATGTAAAGATTAGACGATGGAGATTGGCAACACCGATTTCTCTCGTCCTCGTGTGTATAGAGTTAATCCAAGCCCAGCCCAGCGCATGTGGGGAACTATTTGTCTATCAGGACACGCCGTATATCTTGGCTTAGCTACCCCGAGACGGATGAAACTTTTATCGTATGTCTGCGTGTTGAATACAGTTGCAGGCGAAACTCCTTCCCCTCCTCTCTTCGCCTCCACGTCGCGACCCGGAATAAGCTTAAAAGCCCCTCGAATAGCAAAGCGAGCGGAAAAAGATGGAGGCGCACCATGCTCACGCCTACATCAGACCAAAAAAAAAAGACATCCATCGTGGGTTGGGGGCGGGCTACGTCGTGAGGATCCGCGGCATGGCTAGGAACTGCTGCCGCCTCTCGACAAGACAAGGACATACCGAGGGGACGGGTTGGTTCTGCTAGGAGCTCGCTGAACGAGGAGCAAGACTTGGCCCGGTAGATCGTCATGAGAGGTTCAAAGTGTTGCCTTTCTGGCAAATATCACTAGAAACAGAGCTTCGAGCGATCCGGGGGACCTAGCCGAGAGACGGCACCCGCAGACTATCTCTTGGATGTGTAACCCCATTATTGAATCTCCTCCTCCGGTATCCGCGAGCAGAATCCCCATTCATATAGGTAGAATGCCTCTCGTTCCTAGAATGACATCAACGTTTTGGCGTACACAAGTTTAAGGAGGGGCGAGCGCCATGAGAACCCCAGCCAGAGATATATGTTTTGCTCTCGTTTCCGCTCGGGTGAAGTGATGAGCTCGCAAGCTACTCGAGGTCTCAAGGGTGCCTCGATAAAGTATAAAGTTAGCAGGGGATCGTCTCGGTGATTTCTTATCCCATGTCGAGACGGGCAGGAGAGAAGGCCCTTGGCATCCACCAACCCACCCAAGTCTCTAAGCAATGTAGATCATGCAAAGGCTTGGAAACATGTAAGGAGAGGGGGCGCGAGGCAGCGAGGATGAGCGAGCGAGGGTATATGGAAAGAGACAGGGGTATGAGACAATTCGGGATCGGTGGGGACTGCTCGACCGAGCTACCGTTAGAGAAGACGAACGGTTAGAAGAGAGAAAACCGCTCGGAGATTCAACTCGAACGCGCTTTGGATAGAATATGATAGTTGCGGGTCGCAGAACGGTAGAAAGATAGCTTGATGATGTCCCTAGTGTCTACGTCACGTTGCCGTGAACCAACGTTTTGAAGCTGCGATACCACACGAGAAGAAACCCGCAAATTCAGAGGACATTCGCTTTCAGCACGCGAGACAAGAATTGAAGACGCCAGAAGGTGTCCAGCTTGGGCATATCCCGCTGGGCACCTCTTCGTATTCGTGGAACACCCGATTCCCAGCGGGTGTCGGTGGTTTGTGTGTGTGTCTGACTTACACAACGCCACGGTGAAATCAATCAACATGTGGTAGTAAGCACCCTACACTACTGAACTGATCCATATATTTCTCGCACGGAAGCTGGAGGATTCTTCATGCACTGCCTTGAAATACGATGGATGGAGAATACTCGGGAATACTTATTTCAGCCCGGGTTGCATTTGAGCGATCAATCTATTGTAGATGCTGATGGGGGAAGTTAATACACTGCATGCCCACTGCCAGCGTAGAATTTGATCAATTGGTGGGCCAGCACTTTGCAGTCAGCGCTGATCTGCAGCTGCGGTCCTCGAGCTGAGCGTTTGTGCACGCACGCACGGGGACCAGCAACGAAAAAATGCTTAACTGGGTATTTCCCGGTTGCTTGGAATCCCCTGGTGCCCTGGTTGGACCAAAATCAGTGAGACACGGCCATCAAATGTTGCAGCATAAAACCGGCTGAAGGGCAAGCGAGTTTCGCCCTGTCTTTGTCAACAATGCCGGCGTCAAGGGTAATGATCCATTTCTCTCTCCCCTTGCCCTTATCCTTGTCTTTGTACCATCCCCCTTTTCCTTTCCTTCTAGAAAGCACTTCTGGTTGGAGTTTGGAGATTTCTTTTCGACCTGATGGGATGAATCCGCCTCGATACGGTCCGTACGACAGGTGCGGGCATGGCCTGACGTTGACGTTGACGTTGACATGCCCTCTCGACTTCATTTTCCCCTTTTTCTTTCCCTTTTTCTTTTCTTCCTTCTTCCTTTGGGCCTTTTTCCTTTGGCATGCAGGGACCGATTGAAGGCGGTGGATGTTCTTCTTTAGCCCGGCGCGAAAACGGTCGACTGGGCACTTAGATGGCCCCTAGGACCCCCTCGTGCATGATCTCTCAGCACATCAATGTTTTTCTTCCCTTGCTCGATGATTTAACCGCTGAACATGCACCTATGAGGTCGCATGTTTCTGAAAACAGGCTTTGATATTCGCAGCCCGGTGACCTTTTGTTGGGATAAGACCGAATGCACGGCATACCTGGGTTATGTGCGATGTAGGCCTGCAAGTGGGCGCTTCTCTAAGAGTGGCCCGTTATACAGAATATTTACGCTTTCGCTCAGTCCAGGCAGCCCCTTGGATGGCCTGACCAAGCCAGCTTCTGGGATGATGATGAGAGTAGAACATCACGGAGTGTCAAGTCTTGTTGGCTGTAGCATAATACGCGATGGCGCCAATTCCCCAACCATCTCGGCGAGCGGACAGAGAACGAAGCAGGGTCCCAACACTTCAGCGTTGTGCAGGTTTGGCCAATCCCCAAACCAGATTTCAATCTCTCGCTCGCCCTCTCTGGTCTGTCCCGTTCCCTCTGGCGGTGGATGTTCTATTTTCGGGTTGCGGTCGTTCTTCGGTTCCGGGAAGGCGCCTTGGCAAATGGTGATGGGATCAATAAATTTGTTTTTCTATCTGGTCTCTGTGACATGCTTCTACTCGGTGCCTCGCAGATTGCATGAGAGGGAGTATGTCGGCCTTGGTAGGCCCTCGTTAGTTCGCCGTGATAGCTTGGCAAGAAGAGACCCCTCAGAGGTGATATCGATCTTCCACTGCCCAAGCGTGGGCGCTTAACGGTGATTCGGGTTTGGCTCAACTGGAAGGAGCGGCCCAAAACTGGGAGCGGTGCCCCAACTTTCTTTTTCGCAAAAGCAAGCCGCAACGTCATTGGACAGGGGGTGGGGATTTTGTTCGGTACGCTGTGACTGGCGGGGACTCGTCACCCCATGGACGAGATGGACGAGATGGACGAGATGGACGAGATGGACGAGGACAGGCTTGACAGGGCATGCGTCAGCCAGCGATGCAAGCACTTGCGCTTGGGTTGTCACAGGATCCCTGTAGCGACACATGCTTGTACCGTTGAAATTGACATTGCATGCGAAATTCACTCCCGTTTGAGCGAGCGAGCCTTTGCCCTTGCTCTGCTGCCCGCTAGCAAGATGGAAGATACCCGTTCGCGCACTCAACAAATCGGCTGGGACGAGGTATCCTCTCCTGCCTACTTGTACTGCATACAGCACGGTGCACGGCGCAGCAGCGAGTCAAGTAAGCATGTGCCGATCCGACTTGGGGGAGATCCGTGATCCCGGAACCCTCCTCCTTCCCTTTCCATGAGAACCTCCAAGCACGCTGTCTGTCCTGCGTATTCCCAGAGAACTGGGCATGGAACTAGCCACAGTCTCCACTTGCACCGCACCAGTTCGCGCCTCGAGCAAATACTCTATCTCGGGGCTCTGTTCCGATTAGTGTTGGTGTGCATCATCCTCCTTTCTAACTAGTCGTTTTCTTTTTCCTTCTTTGGGGAGAAGCCCTTGTCGCCAACCTTCCGAAACTTACACTACCTATGATAGGCAGGTCTAAACTAGCCCAGCTGGTGGGGATGTGTCAGTGGTCGGTTAGCATGTTACTAGCGACAAGGCTCGTCATTCAAGCTTGCGGGCCAAGCTTGGTTAGATTTGATGTTGACGAAGGAGCTTTTACTTGCTCATTGAGGTGTATGGGAAAGAGAAATGTGATATGTGTCCCATGATATCGATCGTATAGCCCTCCCAGGTGTAGGAGAGCGAGTGGCTCCTTGGTCCTAGTTTTGTTTGAGAAGTGGGCGCTCCGGATGAGTCGAGCTTCAGCATGCCGAGTTGAACCGTAATCAGTGGGGCCATTCTTGCGCTTTGTGAACCACCCCTGGTGTAGTATGAAGTAGTCTACCCTTGGGATGGATGGGAGTGGAAGGGTAGAAACGTGCCCATGTTCATGCCCATGGCATGGCGAGGCAGAAGCAGAAGTCGAAGCACCGTCTTCAGCTGGTGGCATTGACAGGGGAAGTGGATCTCTCATCAGTGCCTCACGGTTATGGTGCTCCGTGTCCCGAGCTGTATCCTCGACCTTGTTCCGCCATACATACGCTACCTGAGCCTCCGTCCCGCTAGAAATACTCTACTTCTAAATGTTCCTTCTTCTCCACCCGTTGCAACCAGACTTTGCTCGTCTCGATCCGTCCGTTCCTTCTTCCTCGAGCATGAACCGAAAGAAGGAAAAGGGGGGAAAAGGGAAAGGGACAGGGAAGGAGGGTACAAAGCTAAACTTTTGGAGTTTATCTCATCAATCCTTCACTATTCTCAATTTGGCGTTTCCTGGATTCGAACATTCGATCCGGCCGCACATCCATTGGGGATGCCGCTGCAATGGTTCGATTATTTTTCTGTTAAAGGCGCGGGGACAAACAGGTCCGAGGGATGAGCCAAGATCGGGGTGCGCTGATTGTATAACCCTCTTTTGAGAGCCCTGGAAGAGGATCAACGAGAGAAGGGTTCAACTTGATAACCCCAAAGAATCCCCTCCATACTCTCCCGCCGCGCCTTGGTGTGATGAATGCGTGCGTGCCAGCCTTTACGTCCCCGGCTTTGGATATGGAGGGGGTGGTCATTCAATCCCAGACACGACCATGGCGAATAGCTTTGCTGGAACGGCCTCCCAATCTTGATTGACAGCCACATTGGAGACGAATTCAGTTCAGACAACAGCTTGAGGCGCCTCCGTTTCTAGCCATTCCCTCGACCAGCCATTGATGCCTTGAACATTGAAGTCTCTTGATGACGATGAATCGTAACCGTGAGCCTCGTAACATTCGAGCCTCCGGCCCAGAGCTCTATTGGCGGACACCTCAGCGCAGCTGGAGAGGATGGGCATGGCCGTCTCTCGAGTCGGCCGGCGAGTGTGGCTTGGATTTCCAGAGTTGAAGGGGCTCCATGTGTCAGTGGTGCTGGTGGGGCTCTGAACTTGGCCGATCAGAGGATCAATTGTCGGGTGGTCCGCAGACGACACTTGGACCCTGGCCGCGGACGCCACCCCTTCATCCCGTTGCAAGCACGAGACAGTGTGACACTGCACCTCTCCACTCTGAAGCCCGCTGGCACAAACTCTCCTTGTGTACCTCGGTACGCCATCATCCACCCCGTGCCTCAGCAGCTCCGCTGTGTCAGTCCCTCGCCCTGTAGGTACCCCATACTTGCGCCGTCGCTGGCTTCCTCCTCCTTCCCTAACCTTAAAAAAAAAGAAAGGAAAAAGAAAAAACCAAGAGAGGGAAAGGGTGAAAACACGGCGTTTGTCAATGCCAAGCTCCCAGACATGCTCCGTTGGAGAATCTTTGCCAAGCCGCCACAGGCTCCGCGCTAGCCAGAGTGTCCGCGCACCTCCCCACCACCGTTTCCATCAACCCACCTCACTGGAGCTCCAAGCTGGAAGATGGGGGCAAGCGCCTGTGCCTGCTTCCCCTGTGTCTGCGTCCCCTTCGAGTGCTGCCTCTTTCTTAGCACTGGCAAGGTCTGCGCTGCTGCGTCTCACGCTCCCAACCGTGCATGATTTACTTCGTAAGAACGGACAGCTTTTCTGTCTTCGTCCCATCCGTTCGGGCCGCTTGCGGTCTCGTATCGATATCAAGGACCGCCCCACACCAGCAGGCGAAACATGCAACTGAACGATGGAACTTTCAACACACCTCACAAGTTAGAAACGTTGAAGCATCCATGTATCGCCTCGTGCAAAGCCACCGTCCCGTCCTGTACGAGAGTGATCGTCAGTCTCTCGGCATGATGCCCAGTGTCAATCGCTGCTGCATCTCGATGAGAGATTCCTCGCCGGGGAGGAGGGGAGGTACAGGCGCCGAGGGATGTGCGCTACTGTAGGTGCTGTGCTGCACAGGGACATTTTCCCGTCACCTCGACTTGCCGGGGTCCTGCCACCACGCTCCACCATTGACTGACTTGGAGCCACCACCGATGCTCCATCGGAGCTATTGTGGAGTGGACCTCTCCCATCTTCCCGTTAGGCGCTGAGATTCATTTTTGCCGTTTTCCCCCTCCTGTTTCCCGGCCCCTCTCGTTGCATCACCCACCACCACCCAACCCTCCATCCCAGAATTAGAGAAACTCTTGATGGTGCCTGTGCAACAGCCTTCGTGGCGCCCTTCTCTCTTCTGGCCTGTTTCTTCTCTTCTTCCCGTCCCCCTTCTTGTTCCCCAAATCGCCGGCGCAGCCACCAACACCAGCCGATCGTCTTTAGCCAGCCTTTTCCGGCGGACGGCCCCAAGTGCGACCCCTTCTCAGCCCATCCGAATCCGTGTGACGATCAAAGTCGGCTCACCACCATTTTCCAGTCCTCGTCCCTGTTTCCCATCGCTCCCCAGCCGGTACTCATCCTCAGACAAGGGCTTGTCTGATCAGTCCCGTTATACTTGGTAGAACCCCACGGTGGAATCACGATTTGTCCCGTAAATTCCTACTTCAAACGAACGAGATCTGTTTAGTGTGCCCCAACATTTAACTTGCTTTCTCTTCCCCGTGTCTCTCTCTCTCTCTCGCGTTCTTTGCTGGCTTTGAGCTGTCCCTTTGCTATCGGGATGCCACCAATGTTTATGTGGCAATCCTAACTCATATTAATGACATGCAATCCTCCTCTTTCTTCAAGGCGGGATGCGGAGTGAAAAAGGCCCGTATTCTTTCACTGCCCGCTAGCCAGTGTCGTTTCTTGTGTGTGAAGCGAAAATGGTCGAGCGACGGTCACGGGCGCCAAGACTGTAGTAACTAGAGTACATGAAGCGCAGAGGTGGTCAAGCACAAAACAATGGCCAGAGTCACGCATCGTTAAGGGCGTTAATTTGCTGGATGCCGTTCTTCTCTACTGCATATTCAAGTGGGAGTGTTCAAGAGTTCAGAGTGGGGAGGGGTTTTGTGGCCGCCATTTTGTTCCACCCCTTCCCTTTCCGTTTCTTTCTGTCGTCCCTTCTTTCCTTGTCTACCCACCCTGTCTCGACGGTTTCCACCGCCAGAGTTCAACAGGGATTGGGCACCTGGCATGGAAAGAAGAGGGAGGCAAGGATACTTTTGGGAGGTATTCGCCTCATCAGGGAGGACATGGAGCATGGAGGTATGGATGGAGCAATAAGGGGACAGAGGACAGGAGAAGAGGGGGTGGGAAGCTCAGGTATACATTGCCCAAGTCACAAAACGGAAACAACCCGAAGGACGAAGCACGGTCGAATTTAGCAGTCCGCCCGCCCACAGCCATCTTGATAAAACCAAGTCTCCCCACCCCCTCTCGCCCTTCGTGGCTGGCTTGGATCTCCTACTTCCCGCAACCATATCGACACAGAACACAACATCGCCCGCTACAGGAACTACGGCCCAATATATCTTCGTCGCAGTCGGCGACCATAACAGATCGCGAGGAGCCACGAATCTCGATTCGACTAAATCTTTGGCTTTCCTACTTCTAGATCACACTCCCTTCTTCCTCACTTACAAGCAGACTCGAGGCCCATCCTCCGTGAGGTGGCACGATGTCTCTCAAACAGGTTCGTCTCTCCCTCTTCCGCATCTTGCTTTTTTTTTTTTTTTCTCTCTTTCTTTTTTCCTTCTCCCGTACCTTTCATTACGCAACGAGCACTTGTCTCTTGCATATGCACCTTGCCCTGTGCCTGCGCTCTCCGTCTTTCGAGACTGTTCACTAATCTCACCATGTCATAGGAAATCGAGACATGGGTCGCCGCCCTGGCGCGGTATGACAACAACGAGTTCGACGAGGCTTTGAAAGAATTCGAGAGCGTTTCCGATACCTCCAAGATCCTCTTCAACATGGGTGTTATCCACGCTACTTTGGGCGAGCATGAAAAAGCTGTATGCTTTCCCTCCATGCCATTTACACCGTGGTTCTCACCAGAGCCGCCCGCACTCCCCTAGGACTGCGCTGCCGGCCGGGTTTTACTGACAGGGTAATTTTGTGTGCTTAGGTCGAATGCTACCAACGAGCCATCCGCCTCGACCAGTATCTCGCTGTTGCCTACTTCCAGCAGGGAGTCTCTAACTTCTTGCTTGGCGACTTCGAGGAGGCCCTGGCCAACTTTAACGACACTCTGCTCTACTTGCGAGGTAACACGATGATCGACTACGCGCAGCTCGGTCTCCTTTTCAAGCTCTACTCCTGCGAGGTCCTTTTCAATCGAGGTTTGTGCTACATTTACTTGCAGCAGAAGGATGCCGGTCTCCAGGACCTTCAATTCGCCGTCAAGGAAAAGGTCGTTGAGGACCACAATGTCATTGACGAGGCCATCCGGGAGGAAGCCGAGGTACGTGCCAGCCCTCGCCTACTTCTCCGACTTGGAGTGGCCAATGTGCTCTTTTGGCGGAGGGGAATTCCCGAGACCCTGAACTAATCGCCAACGTCGTGACCGTGTCTAGGGCTACACCGTTTTCTCCATCCCCGTCGGCGTCGTCTACCGCCCGAACGATGCCAAGGTCCGGAACCTGAAGACCAAGGACTACCTCGGAAAGGCCCGTCTGGTTGCCGCTTCTGACCGTGCCAACGCCTTTACTGGATTCGCCGGGTCTGAGATAAAGAATGTACGCAAAGAAATCGCTGTACCGCTGCCCGGTTACGGGGATCCATTTGCTAATAGGAATTATCTTGGACAGGCCGGTCAACAATCTGCCAAGGATGACAGACCCACAGACAACATTTCTTTCGCAGCTACCAATCTAGTGAAGCCAGGCCTGCAGAGCCGTAGACAGCAATCTGAACCCCCGAACCCCAATGGACGCGGCGTGTTCCTCCCACCCCTCCTCCGGAAAACGACCGCCCTGGCGGTGTCAGCCGAGGAGCGTCCGTACGGAACGGGCCCAAGCCGACCCTGTCGAAGCTCAACATTGAACGAGCCGTCAACAACCGGTACGAGAAGACTTCGTCGCCCCAGAGCGGCCCCCGGCGGCAGAACACCACTAGGTCCAATTCGTCAACACCCCAGCGTTCGTATTCCCAGCGCCAGCGCAACGACGAGGAGGAAGACTACGCCGACGACGTCTACGACATGTACCAGGGCGGCAACAACGGTGGTGGCGGCGGCAGCTCTCGTGGGAGCCGCCAACAAGGGCGTCGCAACATGCCCCGCTATATCGAGGAGGAGGAAGATGAGGGAAGCGAGTTTGACGACGGCTCGTTCGACGAGGGTGAGTTTGAGATGGTCAGCAACCGCAGGGCGAATACTGGCTCCATGTCGGCCGGCTCTTCGAGAGGTCAATCCAGGCGCCCAGAGGTCCGCAAGGTCCGCGTCAAGGTCCACGCTGAGGATGTCCGATATATCATGATTGGATCCGCGATTGAGTTCCCCGACTTTGTCGACCGCGTGCGTGACAAGTTTGGTCTCCGACGGCGATTCAAGATCAAGGTCCGCGATGACGATATGCCCAATGGTGACATGATCACGCTTGGTGACCAAGACGACTTGGACATGGTCCTCATGACCGTCAAGAGCAACGCGCGGCGGCAGAGGCAAGAAATTGGCAAGATGGAGGTAAGTGACGACGGGCACCACCCTACGAATTTTGATTCTTGTTTGCTAACATATCTGGCTGCTGCAGGTTTGGGTTCAAGAGGTTTAGATCATTTATACCCCTATACACGCATACGCATACGCATCTAGCGACGCTACGATTTAATGACTGGAGAATACTCAACTTTTTTTGGTATCCTATTTTCATCCGGACTGTTTCTTCTTTTCCCGCCTCACTTCCCCCTAGTCTTACGGCCGTTGTCCCGTCAAATGACGGGATGATGCCTTCTACCCTATATCGCTCACTCCCTGAAATATGCCAAACCACCCTCAACCCACTCTTTGGCTCGGCCCTCAGCCTTCATAGCTCTCTAGCTCTTTTGCTAGGTTGCGTGGCTTGAGCAAGGTTCATCTCCGACCATCCAGTGCTTCGAAGCAGGGCTAATTCCCACTGCCGATAGCCTCATGCTGTCGTCATGTCACTTTGTTTCTCAATATCTCTCCGTTTTCTTTTTCCATATATATCTTGTATTTCCTTCTTCGATCTGGAATCGTGGAGTGGGGCGAATGGGAAGAGCCACCTGGGGATCGCAACTTTTTTAGAAAATGGGGTTTAGGAAAGAATGGGTGTCGAGACTTGGGGGCGGACGGGCATTTTCCAGAAGGGGGTTCCTCTTTGTTTGCTCTCTTGGTCTTGTAATCCTCGCATTGTCTTTTGCATCTTTTTGGTTGTTTCCCGTTTTTTTCTTCCTCTTTTTCGCCTACTCTTCCCGGAACACCTTGCCTGACATTGTCTGTGCTTGGGTCTTGTGGGATGGAGTCATGTCGGCTCCCTAGAAGTTTGGGGTTTTATATTCTCTCGGAGGAGTTTTAGGCGAGTGAACTCGGTCACTTGCTGATGCGAGTCGGAAAATTCTGGAATTTCTATCAATTTTCGATAATACCATTGCTTGTTCAAAGCCATTCCAAACATTCAACATTGCCAAACTATGAACTTTGATTCTCTGCTACCCCTTTGTGACGAATCGTCCACGTAGGCTTGTGAGAGGCGTGGGGCGAGCCGTCAAAGCGATATGATGTCTTCGTCACCCTGGCCGATCAACGTCGTGTCCTGCAGGCTTAGGTAGGCCTCGAGGTAGGTATTGCGCAAGGGGTTGAGAATAGGGCGCAGAAGGCTGTCAGAAGAAGACAAGAACATGGTATCCAAACTTCCTCCACATTGCTCATGCCCCCGCCCCCCCTTATTCCAACCAGCGGTAAATCTAACGCCACAATGCTTCTCTGGTTTCCGTCAGGGGATGGGCCCGAAAGAAAAAGAAAAAAAGAAAAAGAAAAACTTAAATTGCTAGACCCAACGGGTGCGTTTTGAAATTCCCCATCTGAAACGCCAACACATCGTAGGTCACCCCCAGGCCAGGTTGGCCAGCTCAGAGTATGTTTTGGTTCTTGTTGACAAAGAAATTTCTCAGCTCGACGGTTTGCTACGGGACGGTATCCCATCCGTTTTCTCAGTTTAGAAGGAACTTGTACATTTTTTTTTGTTGGTTTGCTCATGTCACACCAAACTTCACATCGCTTCGCTGACATCTCACTTGATTTTTATTTTTATTTTTGCTGCCTTTCTGACAAGTGTTTCGGCGTGGACGATAGTTCTCGTCAGTGCTCTCTCTGATTCGTGAACTGGGCAGGGCCGATAGGCCGACTTGAGGGGACGTAGTGGCCAGTGGCCCATGAGTGCAGAGGCTCGGATGGAACCATCAGGCTGGCGGCTTCACGAGTCTGACAATGAGGCGCAGTATAGCCAAGGTCGGCTCGTCTAAGCGGCATCGAATTGCGTCTATCATATACTATAATACAAAGATAGTCCATGGCAAGATGGAAGACCCCAAAACCAATAGTCTGCTACGTCCAAATTTGTCGGTAAGCCTCGCTATGCGACGCCTTATAATACAAGAACAAGAAGTTATATTGTGGTACACGGCATGGTAGATTCGGAAAGGCTAGGAGGGTGTTCCGGCCCGAGCGAGCGCCTTTGCCGCGTTCCCAAGCCGTTTCAAAGATTCTTCGGGCCCAAGCAGGCAGAAGACGAGGCTAGCGGGCTTGGAGGCTCGGTCGGCCGCCCCCATGGACGCGAAGCGGAGCGCGGCGTAGACGGTGTCGCGGGCCGCCTCGGGAGAAGGGTACTGGGTCGCGAGGGTGGCGATCGCAGCGGTGATGGCCTGCTGTAGCTCCTTCTGCGTCCACTGGGAGGGGCTAGCCGGATCGGTGACGGCGAGAGGGTGGAGGAGTGACTCGACGGCGACGAGGGCGGCGGCAAAATCAGAGACTTGGGCTTTCGACAAGGAGGCGGCGCCGGCGTCGTAGGCCGAGGTGGGGACGGTCCAGATGAGCTGGGGGTTCTCGATGACTACGTCTGTGTGGTGGCCGTACCGAGTCGTGTTGGCCTTGAACACCGCGAGTAGGTACGCCTCGGCAGATTCTTCAGTCACGAACTGCGCGACCAGGTCCGCGTGCTGAGAGCGGTCAAAGACGGCCCCGGACGAGGACTTGATTTCCTGCGTGGGATCCTTGGCGGAGCGGTCGAGGGTCTGGACGAACTCCACCGTGGGTGCGAGTATGGACTCGCGCAACACTGCATAGTTTGTGTCTGGGTTTTGGAAAAGGTGCTCGGCATGCTTGTGCTGGAATGAATCGAGTTTCTGGGGGTTCACCTTTATGTTTCCCTTCGTAAACTTAAACGAAAACTACAGAGGTAGGGTCAGTATACGAGCTCACGGGACAAGGTAAAATGGGGCCCTTAAGACAGAAAAGAGGGAGAGAAGGAAAGGGGACAATCCGTGAGCTTAAGTGCGTACCTTGTTAACCAGCTCCTTCATATTCGTAAAAACCTCCGAGCTCTTGCTCGACCCCAAGGCCCCAGCCGAGAAGAACGAGCCAGTTGTTCAAGGCTGACGGCAAGATGCCTCGGTTTCTATATGAGGATACGTCCACATCGTGGTTCCTCTTGCTCAGCTTCTGGCCCGCATTGTCCGTGAGAAGCCCGACGTGGAAGAACTCGGGGGAGCCCACTTAAAGGCATTATACAGAGCAATGTGTTTTGGCGTAGAGATGAGCCATTCCTGTAGGGCCCAGGGTTAGCTACTCCGCGTAGGGGGCCAGAGGGTATATACACAAGGGACTAATGGGGGACGTAAGGAGAGAAGAACGTACTGCGCCCCTAATAACGTGAGTGATCTCCATCAAGTGGTCGTCAATGACATTGGCAAAGTGATAGGTGGGAAAGCCGTCGCTTTTAATGAGTATAAAATCATCTTCCACTTCCTTCTTTTCATACCTGCCGTAGACGCGGTCGACAAAAGGGAATGTGCTCCCACCCTTGAACCGGATGATGTGCGTCTCGCCCTTAGCGGCTCGATCGGCCGACTCATCGGCAGATATGCTTCTACAGGTGCCCGGGTACTGCGTCGTCTGATTTTGGGCGGCGGCGAGTTCCTTGTGCTTTTCAAGGTCCGCGGCCGTGCAGAAGCAGCGATACGCCTGGCCCGACTCGAGCAGCTGATCCGCAAAGGGTCGATACTTGTCGAGTCTCTCAGACTAGAAAGTCGTGTAAGTCTCGGCGTATGGCAGGGAGTGTGAGAATTAAAAAGGAAAGGAATGGCACTCACTTGTTTATATGGCCCATACGGCCCCCAACGTCAGGTCCTACAAGGAGAGAGCTTAGAACGCGAAACGGGTTTGGCTAGAGTGCTTCCGTTTTTTATGTGTGCCTACCTTCGTCCCATTGAAGCTGCGCCCACTTGAGATCACGGAAAAGCCTCTGTTCAGCATCCTGAACAATCCTCAACTATAAGTAGTTGGTTAGTCTCCGGGTTTAGACACCATAGCTATGATCTCTGGGAAACTCACGCGATCCGTGTCCTCTACGCGGATGATGAACTGTCCGCCTGTGGCTTTGGCTAGTAAGTAGTTGTACAGGGCTGTTCTGAGCGAGCCAAGGTGGAGATAACCCGTCGGGGACGGAGCGAAACGAGTTCTGGCCGGCGTCGTCGGAAGGGCGAATTGGTTCGCTGTCTTATCCTTCCCTCCCCTCGAGCGCAGTAGGCCTCCAAGTCCTCCACCATGAGAGAGCCTCTGGGTCGTTGAGAACGGACGTCGGCTTTGCACAACCGGCAAGCCCCGTATTGAACATTTGGCACATACGAATCCCCGGGCGACACGCGAGGCCGGCGCCCAGGGCCCAGCGACCAACATTATCGCTAGCCGAAAGCGTTTTGTTGGGAAATGGGGTCTTTGGGAGCGGACGGGCGCGAGCTTCGGAGCGCATGTGGAAAGGATTCGAGATTTAAGATGGATGTGAGAATGAGATGAGCTTGCGCCTCCTTTCACACTGTGGTGGTATGTGGCGCTTGTGGCTGACACTTACTTCCATCGATCGAAATTGACTGATTAGTCGAGGTTGTCTCTCGGGATTTCTACGTGGAGGTCTTTTTCCTCTTGTTTACAACGAGCAGGGGGTTTCTTTCCTTTTGAGGAAAATGAAGCAGGGTGGAAACCGCTACTCCAAAGTTATGGATATAGAAAGGCCGAGGAGAGCGAAGGCAGCTTGTGAAACCCCGGAGCCTTGGTGCAGGCGAATGTGCTGAAAGCCTTCAAGACTCTCTAAATCGGCCGTTGGGCCCATTTGATCCGACGTTAGAAAGCTCGGAAGGCCACCCACTAATGTTCATCTACATTTGGCTAAAGAGGAATGGGACTGGCCCAAAGGTTGGCCATACGTCTGAATGAGTCCGGCCTAATATATAGCGGCACCGCAGGTCAAGGCATACAAGCGATGAAAAACTCGGAGCTTAATTTAACGAGTCCCTGGGTTTCTAGAACACTGCTCGGAAGGATTCCCTGAACAGTCGTTGACTTCGAATTGCAAGAATTCTGAACCTAGGCAGCCCGAGACGCGCGCCGACCCGCAACAGATACCAAAATATGGGCTAGCCTCAGCGCAGTTACTCAGCATTGGGCCAATGGTGAGCATAGTGAGCACAGTTTGTCATCAGGCTTGGAGTACAACTTGGGGTCCTGGGGGACGTCGAGCCTGAAGGCGTGTGAAAGAGTGCAGGCCCCACCCCCTCCTTGACCAACTATACTTCGTGGTAGCCCCGCCAAAATTTCTTCAGGCCTCACGTCTTCTACTGGTCCCATCACCCCTCTGGATAGCAACCGTCCTTGAAGTCATTATTGCCAGAGAACGGTCGCCCATCTCAACCACCAACGACCTCAGAAATCTCTCACCATGGCCGATTCCGGTCCCGGCTCTGCGCCTCCTGAGACGGAGGAGATTGACCTCTATGGTATTGACTTTTTTCCTGTTACCCGTTGACCTGCGGCTCGCCTGCATCTGTGCTTCACACATCGAGACTAATGTTGATATCTCCATATAGAACTTCTCGGCGTTGAGAAAAATGCCAGCCCCGACCAGATCAAGAAAGCCTACAGAAAGGTAATAAAAAGAACAAAAACTCATCCAGCCCTCTTCGCTACCTGCTCCCTAACCTCCGGCGCCACCTGCCGTGATTCACTCGAGACTTTTACTGACTTTGTTTGCCTCCCGCAATATAGGCTGCGCTGCAACATCACCCCGACAAGGTTCCCGAAGACCGTCGAGATGAGTCCGAGGTCAAGTTCAAGGCCGTGACGCAGGCTTACGAAATTCTTCGAGACGAAGAGAAGAGGCAAATCTACGATGCCGGTGGCATGGCCGCCCTTCGCGGAGGCCCCGGCGGCCCTGGTGGGCCTGACCTGGAGGATATCCTGTCCCAGATGTTCGGTTTCGGCTTTGGCGGCGGTGGCGGCCCCGGTGGAAGGGGCCCACCCGGACAGCGACGACCCCGGCGCGGACCGGATGAGGAGCAGGAATACACCGTCAGTCTGGAAGAGCTCTACAAGGGAAAGACGGTCAAGTTCTCCGCCAACAAGCAGATCGTCTGTGCCCAGTGCAAGGGTACGGGTGGCAAGGAGAAGGTCAAGCCGCAACAATGTGAGCAGTGCAAGGGCCAAGGTGTTGTCGAAGGCCTTCGACAGGTTGGCCCAGGCCTCCTCACCCGCGAGATCATGCCTTGTGATCACTGCAAGGGCTCCGGTAACTTTTTCAAGGAGAAGGACCGATGCAAGAAGTGCAAGGGCAAGCGCACGACCCAAGAGACCAAAGTTCTAGAGATCTACATTCCCCGAGGCTCCATGCAAGGAGAGCGGATCATCCTTGAAGGAGAGGCAGATCAGTTCCCTGACCAGACGCCCGGAGATATCGTGTTTACCCTAGTAGAGGAACCTCATGACGTATTCTCCAGGGTTGGTGCGGACTTGTCCGCAGAACTCAAGGTCACGGTCGCGGAAGCTCTCTGCGGCTTCTCCCGCACAATCCTTACTCACCTTGACGGCCGTGGTATCCATATTACCCGCGAGCAGGGTAACATTCTTCGACCTGGAGAGATTCTCAAGATACCCGGAGAAGGTATGCCACAAAAGCGAGGCGACGACAAGGGCGACCTCTACCTAATCGCCGCTATCGATTTCCCCGAGGATGGCTGGCTTCAAAAGGAAGCCGACTATGACGCCCTCAAGAAGCTTCTTCCCGGGCCTGCCCCGCCTATCGTGGCCACTGAGGTCGACGAGGTGGATTACGAGGATGGCGCTGATCTAGAGGATGTAAGTTTTATTCCCCCTCCCCTCTCCTTCCACCTATCAGGCCCATACTGTCAAGAAATGAGGATGCGAAGCTAACTACCGGGACCTACTTTTCTCTTCGCATAGATGGGAGCACGTTCTGGTGACCCTCGCGCGGGTCACGCTTGGGAAGACGTGGAGGACGACGGTGCCCAAGCGCAGTGCCAGACTCAATAAATGAGCAGGCATATCAGAGATTTGGTCTGGCTTATTTCGGTTACTATAAGGAGCATGGAAAAGAGGCGGATGACATGCATGGATAGACGTTGAAATTTGGATTGGACGGCATGCTCTTTTATGCGGGCTTGTTGGCGGCGGCTTTGGGCCTGCGTTGAATTGACGCGGCGAGAGCCTAGATCAGGATTTGATGCTACTTCTCTACTAACACTCTACATGTCTATGACTTACGCCTTAATAATGAACAACTCTCTTTATGGCGATTTCGTGCTAAGCACTTTGAGATAATCGTGATGATCTCTGCCAAACAGAGTGGGCGTTGCCCGAACATCCGCGGTCCGCTATTACCAGACCCTTGGTTGTGGCCGTTATTTATTCGGATTCAATCCTATCATTAAACTTGTTCTCTCCATAGCCGACCGGCGGTTCCGATGAGGCGGCAGCTTACCAAAGCAAAGTTGATTTCTCGGTGTGGATGTCGGTGAAACTGCTTTTCTGATTGGTTAGATTGAAAGGAAAAAAATTATGAAAGCCCCCACCAGAGTCTTTGGGGAGAAAAGATAGTTGAATTTGGCCCACCACAGAGCAAAACCTGAAGGTACCCCGCACGTGACGCACAGAAATGTTCACCCAAGAACTTTACCCTAGCCCTCCGCAGAGTCAAATCGCCTAGGAAAAACTTCTGCCGCCTTGAACCTCTCGGAGACGAAGCCAATCCACCCTTTTACTAACACCACACAGGAAACACGACAGTCAAGGTATGATGCTCGATTCAATCCTCATCTCTCTCTCGAATTTTGACGAATACTAAATTGTTTCTCTTTGCCGCCCGTAAAGATGGTTTCCGCCAAGAAGCACGTTCCCATCGTGAAGAAGCGTACGTTTGCGAAACACAAAACCTCCCTCTTGAGATGGCAACACCCCCTCTTTTCGTGACCGATCGAAGATTGTCTACCGAGACGCCACGAGACGAAATCCCCCTGCCATCAGCCTCGCCTCGACGATGTTGCGGTTCCGGCCCGACTTGTCGGGGTGTCGCTATCTTTGAAAGTTTTTGTCTTGATTATAGAGGACGTTGGAATTGACATGTCATGGTGTTTTATAGGCACGAAGAAGTTCAGTCGCCACCAGAGCGACCGCTTCATGCGCGTTGATCCCAGCTGGCGCAAGCCCAAGGGTATCGACAGCCGTGTCCGTAGGCGGTTCAGGGGCAACCAGGTTATGCCCTCGGTACGTTGCTCCCAGTAGCCCTCGGTCCCTCGATGCCATATTACAGATCGGCGCCTCCCTCCCGGGGCCGTTATTTCTCTCTCTTCCGGCTGCGATTGCTAACAAGGATTTCTTTTTACCACCTTACAGATCGGCTTCGGCTCCAACAAGAAGACCAAGTACATGATGCCCTCCGGCCACCGTGCCTTCGTCGTCAGCAACGTCAACGATGTCGAGCTCCTCCTCATGCACAACCGCACCCACGCTGCCGAGTACGTATCCTTCATTCCCCCAAGGAATCCGATAAGAGGTGGAAATAAATAAATCAAACGGAAGAGCGGACCACCGAACGGTCCTTCTTTTGGCCTTCACGGGCGGTGGGAGGAAGAAGAGATGAAGTTCACTAAAGGGGAGGGGGACTTGCCTGCTAACTGCCTCTTTAGGATCGCCCACAACGTCTCCTCCAGGAAGCGAATTGACATCATTGCCCGCGCGAAGCAATTAGGCGTCAAGGTCACGAACGCCAAGGCGAAGGTTACGACCGAGGTGTAAAAGTGAAGGCCGTGGAAAATGGGATATGGTCTGGTTGTTTTTATCGGGGTTATGCGCTCATATTGATCATCGGATGCATCGGATATGGTTTGCGTTGCGATCTGATTACGGGGGTCGCTGGCAATTAGACGAACAATCGTCGCTAGAAAATAAAGACCTCTTTCTTCGAAGCACCACCTGGACCCTGGATCACCAGCCATACTCGCAGGCAGACCGCCACCGTCATACCCAATCATGAAATCTAAAGACATCTATGGAAGTTGAACTAGAAGAGGGGAGGTGGTAGAGGGAGGGGAGCGGGGTGGGGGTTAAACGGAAGGAACACGGACGTAGATTCTGGCCGCCCGGAACGTCTCTGCGCATTTGGTGTTTGGAGTCGAATGCTCAAAGTTTATGTCTCGATAACAAGGCGGCGGCGCTAGTCTGTGCCCATCTTCCTCTCATATTAACTCAAAAGCAAGAAATGATTATAACGCTCCAAGCCCAACCCTCTTTTAAGACTGAACCCAATCGTGAGGAGAAAGGGCACCCGCCGTTTCCCAGGCGGATGAGCGAGCAAATATCGGCAAGTTGCTTGTCCCGAAGGATCCACTTGGTGGGCAATATCTTCCCCATCGGCCCAGCTCAGTGTTCTGTAGAAGTATGAAAGAAGGTAACGATCCCAGGCCTACCTCACCCGTAGCCTTGGAGAATCGAATTGCTATGGTTCAAGGATGGCGTCGCACAGGGGGACGCCAAGGAAGGCAACGACGCCAACAATACAAGCACGCATCAATATCGGCAAGCATCATTCACTGTCCTGTGGACTACGTAAGGCGATCAATCGAGAAGGGCGCGATTTAACATGGTGAAGATTCTATTTATACATTACTAGCTTCCGCTCGCCGTCTATCAATCTATTATGTCATGCATTCGTATTGTATATCGAATCCAGGTCTGCCCATCGAAGCCCCGTTTCCACCTGAAGATGGCTGGTATCGTGATCATTTCATGTCGTCGTATTTGCTTGTCGTGAAGTGAAGAGTAGGATGGCGAGATGGGCGATTGAGGCTCGCATCCATCCATTCCCTTAGGGTAAAGTCGTATAGAAGAGAGGGGAGAGGATTGCGTGAAAGTGAGGGTGAGGTCTGGCTGCTTAGTGCTTGAAACAGCTGAAGCTGCCGAGCGAGAACCTCCAAGGGCCTCGACGGACCCCGGATCGGTCGGCGTGCACCGAAGTGCCAAAGTGGCGACTGCCGATGGGGCGGTTGTAGAAAAGACCTCCGTGACGGCCGCCGGCGCTCTGCGATGACCGAACATTGTGGCTAAGGTGATGGTTGGTGTAAGTTGTTTGTTTTAGTGTGTAGCTTCTTTCAATGTGTAGCTTCTTTCAATGTAAGAAGCCTTGTTGAATAGTTCAAGTAGGTTATAAGAGATTGTAGTTTGGTGTTTGTTGTTCTCAAGAGAGAAATTAGATTGTATTGCTGCGAGATATATCGTGATGGACACATTCGGCGCATGCCACGAGGTTATATACACAGGATAGCCATACGTCGATGATGGCCTTTTGGAGTGAAAGGTTGTGGTGACATCACCGACGACGGCATTTCCACACCCCAACTCCAAGAAAACCTTGGCTATAGGTTCCCTCCACGCAAAAAAGAATCAATTGTGGCTGTGACAGAAAAGGCAGGGGGGAACACGCCCCAAGATCCAGTTCTCGAAAAGGGTAATTCAACCACCCTACAAGTAGAAATTAAAAAAGGAACTGTAGTCCTCTTCCGGCCAAAAGACGAGAGGAGAGGTAGCTATGACGGCACGAAGGGCAAGTGATTGGCACCAGTGCAACATGCCGCGGGTGGCGAAAAAAGTTGGAAACCCGCGGAGCCCTGATTACGAAGACGGAACTTGGAAGGTATGGGTAGCAAGGAGGGTTCTTTTTCCACGCCGAAGAGACCCCTTCTTCATTCGGTGCTCGTTTTCCCCACGCGGGTTACACATGAACAAGCTTCGGTAGTCCGAACGGGGCACTTGTATCCTAGGCTAACAATGATGCATGGGGTCGGAGGGGACCTGCGGGCTTGTTACACACAAATGGGCTGCCTCCCTCATGATGGCCTCACCTAGCACGCAATGAGGTGAACGGCTCCGAAGAGGAGCGTCAATCATACGCTGTCCAATATGAATTCAATGTAGCATTGATACACTCGCCCAAACAAAGGACGTCATCTTTAGGAACGGGCGACCTCGTTTCCATCCCCCTACTACTCGTCGGTGGTCTGGTCCCATTTGAACGTTCTGAACGTCGAGTGATCCACAAACAGTTGCGGGAGGTTACTCGTCTGCTTTACCTTATCGTTCAACCACCTTACTTTAAATGCGTACATGTAGCACTTCCGAGTGGAGTACCGGCGTGGGTACTGCACGACGTCCCCTAGATCTACCCACAAGAGCTCGGTAAGGACGTCCAATAGATGGAAACTAGTATTGGTAGATGATAGACTATGAGGTGCGATAAATCGCACCGAGATGCATGCATACAAGACGAAATCCAGATACAATCAACGCCCCTCCCCTTCAATGTCCCAAGCACGATGCATGCAGCCATACGGCAGAGTAAAGAAAGAAAGAAAAGAAAGAAAAAAATAACACCTTCCATATCCGCCCCTAAACCCTCCGTCCCTCATCATAGCTCCCCTCCTCTGAGGCCTCCACCACAATCGAAAAGTCTGTCCCCCGCACCTCAAACTCAACATACCCATCCTCAAGTTTCGCCGTCCACAGCCCAACCGCACCATTCTGCCACACCAGCTCCCCATTGACCTTGACCGCCCCCGGCCCGCCCCCACGGGAACAGCCACGATTCCCCGGTCCAAGCCCTCAGGCGCTGCCACCTGGAGGGAAAAGGCACCGGACTCGGCACGGCTCCACGCGACACGGATGCCACGATCCGCGCTGCCACCGGGCACGGGCACGGTGCCCCTCGCCCACCAGAGGTCTCCCGCGCGGGGCTTGACCTTCCACGGGGCGAAGCCGAGTCCCTCGGGCGTGACGCCTAGTACGTACCGCGTGAGGAGCGCCACCACGCCCGTGGACCAGCCGTGGGCCATGCTCTTGAACGAGTCTTGGTTGTAGCGGGGGTCGCTCCCCTCCCAAAACGTGACGCCCGGGTCCCGCCGCGCCATGTACCCCCAAAGCCGCCTCATCTCCTCCAGCGCCGAGTCCGTCATGCCCGTCTCGAAGCGCGCGGCAATCTCAAAATACGAGATGAAGGCGTAGGTTCGGTCGCCAAAGTCGCCCTGGATGAACGAGTTGCTGTAAAAGGCGTTGCCCCACTCGCTCCGCAATGTCGCTCCACCGCTCCAGGATCCCCGGGCTGTCGCCCTCGGGTGGCTGCCGTTGGTACCCCTACCCACGACGCCCCCGATGATGGCCAGGCTGTTCCCGTCCTGCGCGTGCGTGGGGCAGTACACCTCGCCCCGGCTGCACTTGCCGTCAAAGAAGAGGTCTTCGTTGTGATCAAAGTTGTGTTCGTTGAGGGCGGCGCTGATAGCGTCGGCCCGGACGAGCCATCTCTCCGCGTCGTGGGCGAGCGTGGTCGCGTCCGCGGCGTCGAGCGACTTGGCGAGGATCGCCGCTAGCCGCAGCGCGTAGACGTAGAGGGCGTTGTAGTACGTGACTGGCCCCGTGCGTCGGATGAAGCCGTAGTCACCGTAGCCCCCGTGCCGAGCGGGCCCTTTTCCACGAGCCCGGTTTGCTTGTTCATCAGCCGCGGGTAGAAGCCATCGAGGGCAGCCGCCATATTTTTGTAGTATTGCCTTAGGTACTCCAAATCGCCCGTGTACATGACGTAGTCGTAGCTTGATACAACCCACCAAAGGGGGTAGTCGAAAAGATGCAGGGTATATTGAAAACTGCCAGGTTGTTAGCATGGGGGCCAAACCATTAAGAGAAAATGAATAAAAGTAACGGATCGAAAACCGTTTCCCGTCATTTCGGTATACTTACATGCTCGCGGGAGGGATCCAACCATCCTCACGCTGGTGGTCTGCCAGGTCCGCCAGGACATTTCGGACAGCTTCACTCGTGTCGTGCGATAAGTACGTGGTGAGCGCAGCGACGGCTAGGTCGCCCACGTACGGATCCCGATCTCTCTTGGCCCCGTCGTGAAGCACGAGCTTCCCCGTAAGTGTGTCGCTAGCCGCGCCCCGGGGTTCCGTATCGTTGGCGCGGAACGTATCCGTGCAAAGGTCGTTGGTGTACACGCCGTCGTACCACCACTGGGTCAGGTCCTCGTCCGAGCATTCAAAAGTACCCGTAAACGTATCCGGCGTCCCTTGAAACGCCGAGACCCGCAGCGAGATCGATGAGATCGCTACGGAGCCCCGGGCCACGGTAAAGGGCGCATCCTCCTTTAGGGTGTCTAGGGAGATGCGAAGGTAGCGAAAGCCGTGCAGGCCGTCCGCGCACACTTGGCCGGATTCCTCGCAGCCCAGCTGGTTGGTCCAGGTGTACTTTTCACCCCTGACCGCGATCTGATCCGTCCCTGGCGTGAGACGGTCTGCGGACCCTCTCCGAGCCTGATCAAAAGGTTAGCGAGCAGCCTCTAGAAAAGGGGGTTCCCTAATGCCGGGGCAGTGAGGGGTAGCCTTACGTTGTAAGATCGCGAGAAATCACTCGTAGACGAAAGATGTTGCAACGTCTCCGAGAAAGCGAGCCGCAGCCCCGGCAGCCCATCCCCGTCGCTTTCGGCCCCCGCAAACTCAATCGACAGAATACCAACCGTATTCATGCCAAAATCCACCACGATGCTCGGCACCTCGTCCGCCTCGTCTTTCCGAATCAGGATGGTCGGCTTACCTCCCTGACGAGCCCGCGGGGCCTACGCACGAGACCCGTCGTGTGCTTCTCCAGCACGGCAACGGGGTGAACGACGTCACTCGGGGAGCCCGCACGTAGCGGTGCCAGCTCGTAGCATCCTCCTTGGGGCTGCCGCCCGTCTCCTGTGCCGGGTGGTCTCCATATAAAGGACGGACGAGAGAATGAGATAGAGAACCGCGACTAGGAACACAGCAGCCGTACCGATCCGGGTGCGGCGGCTGATGGCCGTCCGTCTAGGGTCCGGGCTGTTGGAAGCGTGCGAAGGTTCCATGGTGTGACGATGCTGGGCGTGTACTGATGGGAAAGACGTTCCAAAACACGGGAACTTGTGGAGATGAGCCTAGGTATCAACCGGAAGCCATCTACTTGAGGGCGTCAAGATGCTGTCACTAGAGGAGAGACTGGATTGTAATGCGTGCACACCGCCGCATGGTTTGCGCCTCGTAGGCGCGTGCGTGAAGCTTATCTTGGCAGCGAGTCCGAGTCGACTCCGTAAAGATATCTGCACAGCAAGAAGAATGAGAAGAGGGGCAAGACGGCAAGACGGCAAGAAGTAAAAATAAAAAATAAGAAACCAGGAAGCTTCGTCGAGCCAAGTTCACAATTCAGATCATTGTGGCTGTCTATTCCCCGTGGAGCTAAAAAGAGGAGTGGACGAAGCTATACCACGCTACCTATGCACCACTGTCTACATCTGGGGTTGCACGTTAAGGGGCCAGAGACCGAGACGCACCGACGCCATGACATGCGACAGACGTTATGGGGAAGGAACACCTTGGAGGAGGGGCGGAATTTGCGCCTTCTCCTTGGAAGGGACCAAATTGCCCAAATTGCCCCTCCCAATCCAGCACAATTGCGGGTAGAAGCTGAGGGGTTCCAGTCCCAAACCAGGCACAGTCCATTCCCGCATGACCTCCGCCTCGCATGGATGAGCCTGTGACCACAGCTCATACACCAACCCCTCCTCCAGCACCGTTGTCCCCGCCCCGGCCGTGACCAATGGCGCTGAGTTAGACTTCGGCATTCGACACGGCGCAAATGAACATCATCTTCGAAGGGCAAATTCTCTGTCTCATAAAAAAGTATCAACAGCCATTGTTTGTTCTGTTGCCCGAAGACAAGAAATAAATAGAGTCCAGCTAAATATATTTGCTTCACGAGGACTCGCGGGGAACCCGAGAGGAGATGTGGGGGAAAATAGTGTTTCAAGGGCCAAGGGAGACATGGATTTTTAAGATGAACTTCAAGTTCACAACTTGTTCCTCCCATGATCCCGTCCTCTAAAGTGCGCGGCTCTCCATTGCTTCACGAGGCTGAGCCGAGTAAGTTCCATAGCCGGCGTCCTAGAATATGATCCATCATCACGCCTCTCAGCCTTCAGCCTTCACTTAACCGCCCCCCTCTCTCTCTCCTCCTCTCCTCGCCCCGTCTCCCCCTTGTGCGTAGAATCTCCTAGCCCCTTTCCACCTCTTCGCTACGCCTTCCGAGAATTAGCCACTTGAAGCGCATGGGTAAACACCTCGACGAAGGTAAAGCAGTCCTCAAAAGTGTTGTACAAAGGCGCAGGAGCGATGCGAATGACGTCGGGCTTTCTCTCGTCAACAAACACACCTTCCTTCTCGAGCTCCTCCATCACAGTGTTCAACAGGCCTGGGGAGAGAAGGATACTAAGTTGAGCACCGCGCTCATCGGGGTTGGTCGAGGTGATTTGCGTGAACAGCGCGCGCTGCTCCTTGGGCATGTTATTGAGCAAGTTTTCGAGGTATGCCGTCAACCTCTTGGACTTCTCCTTAGCTTTCCAATGCCGCCTGCCAGCTCGTAAATCTCTAGAGAGGCGCAGACGGTGGTGATGTCAATGATGCTGGGGTTACTGATCTGGAACCCCGAGGCGCCGGCCGCCGGATGAAACTTGTTAGCCATGACGAACCGGGAGGCCTTGTCATTGCCCCACCACCCTGCTAGACGGTTGGCATAACCATTCTCCGATCGCTCCTCCTCCACCTTTGTGGTCACAGCACTATTGCGAGAATGCACAAACAAGCCGGCAATGCAGCCCGGGCCTGCGTTAAGGTACTTGTAAGTGCACCACGCCGCCGCGTCTACGTCCCAATCGTGCAACTTCAGCTCGACATTACCCGCAGCATGAGCGAGGTCCCAGATAACAAAGATGCCACGTTCCCTCGCAAAGGCCGTGATCTTGGGAATGTCCATCAGCTGGCCCGTGTAGTACTGGATCCCAGGAAGAAGCAGGAGCGCGGTGGTGGAGGCGTGTTCCTCAATCACGGAGAGGATAGAATCCGTGGTGAGGAGTGGCCTGTCCCAACTCTTGGGCTCGATAAGTACCATGGAGTCCTCTGTAGAAAGACCGTGGTGCCTGATCTGGGTCTCGACCAAGAAGTGGTCGCTAGGGAACGCCTTGGCCTCGAGAATGATTTTGTGCCTGGCATTCTTGTCCGGCTTGTAAAACGCCGACATGAGAAAGTGGATGTTTGCCGTCAGCGTCTGCATCACGGCCACTTCTTCGACCTGTGCACCAACCACGGGGCCATCATCTGCGCAGCCCTATCATCGGCATCAAGCCACGTTGGCAGCGGGGTGCCGTCAAGAGGCTTGAAGTGACCCTGGACGCCCTGGGTCGCCCATGTGTCGAGATACTGCTTGACCCTCGTAAGGGTGCGCTTCGGCTGAAGGCCGAGCGAGTTTCCCACAAGATAGGTACACGGCCTGCCGTCATCCCCTGGCTTTGATCGGCCACGGTGCTGTCAGCACCTGCAAGTCATATATATCCATGCTTGTGTCAGCCTAGTTCGCAAGTCTCTCGTGATTCAGGAACCAAGGGAGGGGAATGGCTAAGATGTTCTAGAATAAAACAAGGTAGGCCCACCTCGGCGTGACTGAGGAGAGGGTTGAAAGGGCTGGGGAGAATGGGGTGCGTTGACTCTACGTACCTCTCTTGGGCAAGGATTTGCTCAACGCCTCGGCTTTCGTCGGGATGATGAACTCGTCCCTCGTGAAATTTAGAGCGTCATTTTGGTCCAGGGAGGCCGCGTGCTCCCTCGAGAACGTATCGGTTCCAGCCATGGCGGGTGCTTCCTTTTGCTGTTAGTTTTCTTTTTCCCTTTCACTGCGTCTTTCGTTTTTCTACCTTTTGGCCGTCTGCTTTTACCTCTCTTGCTTAAGATCAAGGTGGGGTGCGCGAGATACCTGTCAGGTATACTCCTGCAAGGCGCAAAACGAGCAAAGACAAAGGCTTGGGTGATGCGATGTGTACCGCGCCAAGTACCGTGCGGAATGTATGGCGGGGTCGTTTCCCGGCAGGCGGTGATAGGGCAATGGGAAAAGAGTGAACGAGGGGCAATGGAAGAAAAAAAAAAAGAAGGAGGACCAAACGGGCCTGAGGACGGGTGGGGCTTGGAGCTGTCGATCTGCTTTCTCCGTCCGTTTCCTTCAGCCGGCGAGTGGGGGATAAGAGGTTGAAAATTGAGGATTAAAGCGGGAATTGTCTAGGAATCTTGGGAAACCAGAGATCACTGCTTCTCACTGCTTCGAGTCAAACGGGTACGGTGTTTCTCAAGGGCCAATTGTTACATCTCGAAACCCAAGCAGCGGAAAATCAAAAAGCGATATTTTGACCACTTTATGCCCCAGACCTAGACTCCGCTGTGTGGGGATCGCGCCCGACCCGTGGGTCCTCCAGAACTCCTTCTCTCGAGCTTGAAGCGCCAATTGCCGCGAGTTGCCGCGTCCTCCAAGTCCAGGATGATGGCCGTGGTAACGCGGAGATCCCCTTCCCATTTCAAAAGTATTGTACCTACCCGATAGAGGAGTCCAACCGAGGGTGGCCAGCGCCCTCGATCCATCTATCAGTTTCTAGAATCATCTTGGAGAAGGATTATTGCCCTCTCTCGACTAAATGAACTTGTACTCGATCCCGATCCCGATCCCGATCGTGAAAGGTTCTTTTGCGAGTGCTCGGGTGTCATACCAACCTGTCGAAAAGCCCTCGAAATGCGGTGAGGTTCCGCGGGAAGAAAACAAAGAAAGGAAGAAATTTCTTGTCAAAGGGGTAGGGGCGGAGCAGAAATTATCCAAAAACCTACGGATGAGGAGAACGTTGGCTAGACAGGGTTCGTCTTTTCTCATGGCGGTTACTCGATCGTGGACACTTTGGCCGATGGCCCTTTTGATATTCATCTTCAACCTTGCACTGCCACATCTGATAACCGAGTGCGAGCTTCCTAAACTTGAATAAGTTTTCCTAGCTTAAGTAAAGGAACAACGAAGGAACAGAAACCACCAGAGGAGGATGAAACATGCTCGAGGAAGCCACGATCTCTAGCCCTTGAAAGGTGAGAGCTGGGAATCCACTTTGCGGTGCAAGTTCACCCGTCACGTCACCTAGTTCTCAGATACCTGGTGTCACGCTCATGTTCCAGATGTTGCTTTCCCTCGAGGCAGCTCATAGATAACAGGCGTCATCACGATCCCGCCCATCCTTTGAAGCTTGAAGACAATGATGCAAAATGTTTGTCTAATAACCCTAGCGTAGAGGTATCAAGGCCAGCTGGAGTGTCTTAGATAACCTTGCAAGCAGGTTCCTGCAACTCGTACCTGCCACGATGCCCCGCTTCCCCTGCTCCTAGGTCTCCAATTCAAGTCATCAGGAGGCCACTTGGCGGTTCTTTCCAACTCTTCGAAATCACCTGCCTTCAAGCTGTTGGCAAGAAAAAAATTCTTTCAACACAAACAAGAGAGGAAGGGACGTGGTACCTGACGACCTAGCACGAACCGGATAGCTTCGGTTGCCATTCCAAGATATCGCAACGCCCCTTGACGTTGGCACTGTGCCCGTTTTCCTGTTACCCAGGGATATTTTGACCAAACTAGTCAAGCCTGCAGCTTAATACTTCTTGTTGTGTCGCACCGGCCGGTAATACCCCAGCGAGCGCGAGGGGTAGGTGGTGGTGGGGCGCTGGCAAGGCATGCCCCTTCCGGCTCTGGGTCTGGTGCCCACACCAGACGCTTTTGGGGCTCGGTTTGGACGCCGACCTTCCGCTTTCCGGCCCCGGCAGGGGGCGGCGTCGTGCTGTGTTGCACACCACCGAAAGCTTCGCAGCCAAGGCAGCTATTGTATTTAGCACAAGAAGACGTATTTCTAGAATGAAGGTAACGAAATTAGAAAAGGAAAAAAATCCATTCAACAAACCGCACACCTGTTGGGACTTTTGTCGATAGAGGAGGGGAGATCGCCATCCCCTGCACCTGCCTTGTTCTAGAAAAAAATAAAGGAGGGGGGATACAGGTAGACAAAGATAGATCAATGAAGCTCTGCTCTCGCTTCCAACCTTCCTGCCCAAAAAGAAAGTAGCCTCAACCATTGGACTCCTACCTCTTCTATCGTCGTCCTGGATCATTCCATTGATCCACCCACTTCGCGTCAAGCCCAAGAGGATAGAGTCGATCGATGCAGGAGCGAGGCGTGACTGATGTTGACCAATTCAGCAGTGGACATTGAGGCCGAATTCAAGGCATCCCAGATAGAAAGCATGTTTCAAAAGCTCAATAGACCATCACGTTCACGGTGCTTACGCCTAAGAGGCTAATGCGGGTCTGTGTGGCTCCTTACGCAATCGTACCGAAAACTTTCATGTTTCTTAGAATGGCGGTCGGGGACACGATCCTGGGAATTCCCCCAGATCGAGCGACGCTTGACACCAGACCGGCAGCCGCTTGGATACCGTTACTGCAATACTTTCCTAGGCCATATTCCTCAAACGGTAGATGTATCCGCCCGGAGAAAGTCTGAGATTTCCGCAGCATTGTAGTCCGACTAAGTGCCCACGAGCCCATCGAAAAGTGTCAAGGCCCAACAGCATGTTATCGAGAGGGAAGAAAAAGGAGAAGAAAAAGACAGCATGACAGGTCATGCCTTTCTAATCGCCAGCTGTATTCAGTATTCACCGAGGGTTCTGACGCGTTGGCTGCGCCGACTTAACGGATCCGGAAGAACGCATTGAATGGATACACCGCCGGGCACAGTCCGAGAGGCGACTCGGGTATCAGACCCGGGCCCACCACGGACTCGGACTGATGCTTCGACCTTGGCGGAGATATGCAAAAGCTAGCCACATCAAACTCCAGATGCAAGCATCAGCTGTTGAGCCGGGGAGCCGTCCGCTTCCAATCGCCGTTGGACAAGTGTTGAGTGTAAACGCGTCTAATAGCGCGGGAGTGGAGGCGGACAAGGAGAGGCCAAGAATGGGAATGCAAGGGAAAGAATAGCCTACGTGAGTAAAGTAGACAAACTAGGTCAATCTGAGTACGAGCCTAAACCGGCCGTTGGATCTGGAGTAGAGACCCTCCAGTCGCCCTCGATTGTAACTCGCACCATCATCTGAAGTAATAGCCCTGAATTTGATGCAGACATCAATCAAGTTGTCCAGGCACTATTGATGGTGGTAGCCAAGTTGCATTCGTGACTCAACGGATAGATTGCACTATTCGGGAATCCTGACTTCTTCCCGTCGTCTCCGTTTCCTGGGAACATTGAAAATACGCTCAACCACCTCTGACGTGTTTGGCGGTTGATGAACACAGTCCACATTTGATTCGTGCTGCCCAGGACTTGCTTGGATTCCCAGGCATGGCACAGTAGACGGCCACCGTCAAGCCCCGTGACAACATATCAAGCTGACCTCGAATCGGGCTGCAGTTAGGGGGCACAGGGCCGCTGGTGGACGCCGTCCGTGGTGCGAAGAGGGGCAGGGTGGCAGCACAGCCAGCTAGCTGCCAGGCGGTAAGTTGTGCAGGGTCGGCCACAAGGCCAAATCGCGGGGTTGAGCTAGAGTAGCCGGATTCCAATTGTCCGATCCATGGACGGATCAGTGGTTTCTAGCTAGCCATCAATAGGCTCGGGTTGTCTTAACTCGCCCCCCAGTCATTCGCCAATCTCAGCGGGGACGCACGTGTGTGTGTGTGGTTGTGCTCTGGCCCAGATGCTACTTGCCCCTGCATGGAATTGGCTCGTGCCTCGTCATGAGGTCCCCCAGATTTTTTTACCCCCTTGACAGCACTGCGCGAACCTTGCCATCAAGGGATCCGAATCCATCGAGAGGTCTCCAAAGACGCACGACGTTGTCCCAAGGCAAATGAATGGACTATTTGGCCTGGCGTTGCGTTCAAGGGATGCGGACTTTCCAGACCTGCACCCAGACTACACACCGAAATCTACTAGACTAGCCAGCGCCAGTCGTGTCAATAGAAGAATGGAGCAACCCAGACCGTCTTGGAGAGGTATCAAACGTGAATCTCAACTTCCAAGGTAAAGCCAACTATGATAACTCAGTGTTGATTTGCAAATCTAGCCGCCAACCGTAGTTTGGGCGAACCTAGTTCGGAGTGCAACCGCCACGGGGCCATGGCAGCCCATCGCTTGGTGGGCTCTACCTGGAGGCAATAGAGTTCGACAGCTTCCCGAGGGCGAGTGAGGCCATTGATGCTAGACAGGGCCGGTTGGGGTGAGCGCTCTCCCCTAGAATTGCTGAAAGTAAATGTTCATTGTCCCTCAATAAAAAGAAGGAAAAAAGAAAGGGGGATAAGTGGAGAGGAAAGTAGAATAGGAGACACTTGGCATTTCCGGGACACCGGAGGTACCTTGTATGATTCACTAGTTTCGACGGTGAAGCTCACGATGCTGGGGGCTTGCAAAAAGTGTGGAGGCAGGCGCGGATGAGACGCAGCAGACCGGCCGGAAAGGGTCCCAAGCAGTGCGGGTGTGTCACGCGGCAGTCTCCCAGGTTCATGCCCCAGAGTTGTTGAGATTCCATCTCAGCGACAGGGAAACCGGGCGGTCCGTTTGAGATTTGACTCATCGCCATGAAGAACGGACAAAGCTGACGCTGCCAGATCTCTCCAGTGCCCCCAAAAGGAGGCTCAATACCCTAGCGCCATTATTATTAGAATGAAGGTTTAGATCACGGCAGGACGCTGCTCCAGGCAATCCTGGGAGGAAGGCGCTGACGAGCGGCTCTTTTACGGGGTTCCCGGAGCGGCTGGTACTTGCTGCTTGCCACACAACATAATAGAAACTAGCCAAAGCCAGGTTGCCAGGTCAGGTACCTGAAAAAGTTGTCGGTGACTCCAAATAGTGGAGGTTGGTCACTCGGACTATAGCAGCTTACGTGCTATTACAGCCACGAGACCTCAACCTTGAATAATCAAATAGAAAGCATTTGACCAATAATTAGACCAGCAAGACAAGGCAGTCCAGAAATTATCCGAGCGAAACATGGGTCTGGGAATGAGGATCTGGGATGAGAAAAGCGTTTGGAAAAGTTGCCCCCAGGACCAAGATTACAGCGGCAAGGGAGGGTGGAGGGTGGAAAGCGAACGCAAGACAAAGCAAGCAATGGATGGATCAATTGGATCCATTGGATACGAAGCTGTTACTAGAGCTGATCAATCGAAAACTTCGGGGCTCTAGTCTAGGCTCGTGTTTGGTCCTTTGATGGCAACTAAGATACGCGGCTCCAAACCCCAGCGTGTCTGTACGGGAGCCACTTTCGGAAGCGTTGCGGGTTCCACGGGAGGCCTACTCCAGCCCTCGCCGCCGAGCAATCATCTGATACGGCGGCCAAGCCCGGCGAAATTGAAGGCTCGTCCCATCGGTATTCGGATTTCGGCCACGGGCAGGCCACTCTCCTCTTGCCATAGCCTGAGGAGAGAGGGATATAGGAGCATTCAACTCACGGCATGGCGATGTCAAGAAACGCCGGGGACCATCTTGGGCAAGGTAGCACTACAATTAGTCAAGAAATGACGGGTAAGATGTGCGAGCCGCCTTCCTTTGAAACCCCGTTCTTTTGGGCATCGAAAACTTCAGAGCCACCATCCATTGCCCAATGTCGACGATAGCCGATGACTGGGACGAGAAGGGGTTTTCTCGTTCTGTTGAACGGGGAAAGGAGCTGATCCGTGGCCCCCGATGAGGTCGGGGCAGGATCATGTCACGCTCACATGACATGTGACCGCAGCTTCTCAGTGGCCAGTACCTACACCCACGCGGCAGGTAGACTACCTGAATGGCAAGGATCAGGATACCCCTGCGCGAAGCCGAATTTGCCCCAGGGTACCAGGTAGACAGTCACACGGGTGTACGCCAGGGCCAGGTTCCTGGACCCGTCCGCTACTCGGCTCTCATACAGTATACTTGGGGCGTGTGAGGGTGCTTCCCCAAGTCAAGTCCTCAGGTGGAAGGGTCAATGAGCAGGAGGGTCTCGAGCATCAAATGCCCCAATGTGTCGAGGGTGGATCGTTCATTGGCAAGAACGGCCCGGGATGCTCGGTTTCGGCGGGCTCTCCATCGTTGCGTTTCTAACGCTGCGTGCAAAAATAGCGTTTGCAAGCATCAGGGAGGACCCAATTGAGGCTTTGCCAAAACGCAGGTCCCCTGTATGTCTACCGTCGGTGTTCTTCTCAACGATTCGAGGCTTCTGCCGGCGGCGGCGGCGGGGCGGTTCAGATCCAATGCGCTTCCCAATTGCGCCCCAAGCTACCTTGCACGCGCGCATCATGGCCCATACCGTTTAATTCTGTCGCCATCGTGATGAGTCCCCGCCCACATCTTTTGCAAAGACTTGCAAGTTCTGCTCGGCGACCACGAACAGCCAGGTAGCTCCAGCTTGGCCGGAAAACCTATACATCGTGTTGGGTATCTTTTCGCTCTTTTTCTTTTCAAAATTTTCCCTGAAAACGTTTGCATATAAAAACTCAATCCCCTCTTTCCTCTCCCAGTGCAGACTGGTGATTTCATCACGACATAGCTCCATGAGCCTAATAACCTGACAAAGCTCTCCCAGCGCCCAGTCTAAAAACAGACTTTTCCCTACCCTCGGCCTTGATGCCCCTGATCTAAGATCTAGGGTCTTGCTGAACCCTTCTTATACCACACCATCCCTCACCTGCAACCGCCATCATCTTTAAATCATTTCTCTACCCCGTCTATCCCATTCCCAAGGAAGTCGATCCCCACTACCAATCACCGTCCTTGGCCCTATCTACGACCCGCCATCCCCAAAGCCATTCCTGAGCTGTACTCTCACCGACCTGCCTGGTGCGCGGTTCTTATCAGTGAGCCACCAAGACTGCTCTCTTAAACGAACCCCGGAACTCCCCATCCCTCTACCACCCGGCCCGAGCTGCAGCTACCCGTATCTCTGGAAGCTCACCTTGCATATCTTACTCGGGACGCGCTCGCTGAACCGTGCCTCTAATCGGTGAGTCACCAATGTTTTATCTACAATTTCCCTCGTCCACTGCAGGTACTCGAAGCTGCGGGAGCCAATGTTCATCGTATTCTCTCGTCCAAGCCAGCCTCCGGGCCTAGGCTTTGGTCGATCTCGCATGGTAGCGGGCAAGAGAGAAACCGATGCCGTGCAACATTGGCCCACCAAAATCCAGCTTACACGAAACCTGCTTGCGAAGGCAAATGTCTGAGAAAAGTGCCTCCCTTCCGGATATTCCCAGACCTATCAATCTTTTCTAAGAGGAAGGGGAGATACTCGCGTTTGGGGGCATCTTTTTCTTTTTCCCTACTTTTTCCTTTTTGTCTTTTCTTTTGTTTTATATTTTTGTCTTCTTTCCTTCTACGGTTGCTGGACTACTGAATATGTTCCATGACGTCACTAACAAAAGTTCAATGAAGCCTTTCTCTGACGAACCTCGAGAGAACATCGAGGTAGCTCCCAAACCGAACCAACAATCTCAAAAATATCTAGTAAGATTCAATTCTTTTTCTTATGTCTTGTTACCTTGTTTCCTCTTTGCGTCCAAAGGAATGGAATGTCCAGTACCAAAGCACCCGAAGCGGCGGTGAAGAAGTCCAGCCGCCCGCCCGCCCGCTGCCCCGCGGCTTCATCTCCGAGATAACGCGGTGTATGTGGCCGTGTTGTCTAGGTCTTATGGCATTCTTATCAGTTGCCACCTCTTTGAGCCTCTTCTAGAGGCATGAATCTCTTATCCAAGACACTATGACGCCTTCTCAAGTGAGAAAAGAAACGTAAAGACAGGGAGAGTGCCGGATATAAAAGCATCGGAATGATCTCTTCTCTACCAAACCTTCCTCACCCTCTCGTTATCCAAAGCACTTTCATAGCTTTGAACAGCCTGACATCTATCACTCACCCCCAACTTCCCAAGAATCAGCCACGATGTCTGTGTTGACCGTCGTAGCTAACCCGTCTTTGAGCGCTTTTCCAGATTACATTGACCCTTTCGACAGCATCACAATGTCTAGCGCGTCACCGTTACCTCTGAGCAAGGCTGTCGCCGGCCTTCGTGACGAGCAAGAACACAGCCGCCGCCCTTCACCCCAACCATCTCACCTCTGCCTCCCTCACACCGTAAGAAAACAGACATTAGGATATGTCGCGCCTACTTTCGCGGAAAAGCCAGTTCAAAAGCTGCAAGGTACGTACAGAGCCACATTCAATGACAGCCTCTAAGAGTTACATATTCTAACTTGCATCGGTTTTCGTCTCCAATAGTGAAGAAGCTCATTGAGGATGCTGGCTTGATACCAGCCTCTCAGGTCGACGACCAGATTGAGTTCTTCTATGAAAAGCTTGGGATTGATGATGTATACTTCAATCTCGAGAAGCCGACGGCTATCGCTAGTCAAATCACGTCGTTGTACGCCGCCAAGGTCGCTGCCCTGGCCCGCGAGGATAAGCGCGAAGAGATTCGCCTCGATATGGAGGCGGAAGATCATGCCATCTATATCGACACGAGCGAGCCCGGAAAGTCTGTCCTGAACGGCCCCAGGTATGAGGAGAGGCTGGAGTCCAAATACCTTGACCACATCGGAAGAACAAAGTTCAGGGTTGAGACCTTCCGCTCTCCCGGTGCTCTCGGCGCCAGCCCTGCCTCAAAATCGACCCTTCGGTGTTATTTCGTCTACCAGTGCCAGTTCCGTCAGGCACCTGAAGACACGGATCCGATGGAAACGAGGCTCGAGCTCATCTCCGACAACGGCTTCTGGCAGAAGGCTACCGAAAATACCAAGCAAATATATCAGGGCATCATTGATCTCACCGCCGCCCGAACCGGCCCGGTCATCGAAGTCTTCGATTTGGAGGAAGCGACGAGAAGCGGTTGGTCCTCGCGTTCCGGACCCGTACCGCGCGTGGTCTCTTTTCGGAGCTCAGCGACCTATACCACTACTATGGAGTAACAAGCTCTCGCAAATACGTCGAGCAGTTCTCAAACGGCATCACTGTCATGTGCATCTACCTTAAGCAGGCAACGAATCTGGAAGGCAATTATCCCCTCTCGAGGATTCGATTCATCAAATCACCAAGGAGATCTCTCTCCTGTACTGCCTGCCCCACAACAGACTTCACAGCTTGTTCGCCAATGGAGAGCTCAGCCTCCAAGAGGCTATCTACGGTCACTGCGTGTGGGTTTTCGTGCAGCACTTCCTCAACCGACTGGGCTCCGAGTACGTCACTCTTTCGCAGACACTCGATCTCAAGGACAATGCCCAAGTCTCTATCCTCTCAAAGCTCAAGCGCCGACTACGTACAGAGACATTCTCTCCTCAGTATATCCTTGATATCATCAAGTCTTACCCCGGCCTCCTCCGTGCCCTCTATGCCTCTTTTGCAAGCACTCACCTCGGAATTGCAGAGGAGGTGAGCGAGACCAATGGCACCAATGGCACCAACTCCGGCCGCCGAAGCCCCAAGCTTGCTCTCGACGCCATGTCCGATGACAAGCTCAAGGAAACGATTTCTGCCACTGTGGCGAATGAAAATGACGAGATGGTCATGACGGCGTTCCGTGTGTTCAATAACTCGGTTCTCAAGACCAATTTCTTCACACCTACCAAGGTTGGCCTGTCGTTCCGTCTTGATCCCTCTTTCCTTCCCTCCACGGAGTACCCCAGCCCTCTTTATGGCATGTTCTTGTTCCTCTGTGGCGAGGCGCGAGGCTTCCATCTTCGCTTCAGGGATATTGCCCGTGGAGGTATCCGCATCGTCAAGTCCCGAAGCAAGGAGGCGTACGCGCACAATGCCCGAAACCTCTTTGACGAGAATTATGCTCTCTCAAGCACCCAGCAGCGCAAGAACAAGGACATTCCCGAAGGCGGTGCCAAGGGCGTCATCCTCCTGGAGCCCAAACAGCAGGACAAGGCTCGCGAAGCGTTCGAAAAGTACATTGACAGCATTCTCGATCTTCTCCTTCCTGCCCGGACTCCCGGAATCAAGAACCCTCTAGTTGATCTCTACGGAAAGGAAGAAATCCTATTCATGGGTCCTGATGAGAATACGGCCGAGCTCGTTGACTGGGCCACGGAGCATGCCCGCATCCGTGGAGCCCCTGGTGGAAATCCTTCTTTACAGGAAAGTCGCCCAAGTTGGGAGGTATCCCTCATGATACATATGGCATGACGACGCTCGGAGTCCGCGAATACGTGACTGGCATCTACCGCAAACTCAACCTTGACCCTTCTACGGTCAGGAAGATGCAAACCGGCGGCCCAGACGGCGATCTCGGCAGCAACGAAATCCTCCTGAGCAACGAAAAGTATACCTCTGTGATCGACGGGTCTGGTGTGCTTGTCGATCCCAACGGAATTGACCAGCAAGAGCTTCTGCGACTTGCCAAGAATCGTGTCATGATCAACAACTTTGACGTATCGAAACTCTCAATCGATGGATACAGGGTGCTTTGCGACGATTCCAACGTCACCCTTCCTAGCGGCGAGGTGGTCGCCAACGGCACCACATTCCGCAACACATACCATCTACGCGATACAGGCCTCACCGACTGTTTTGTTCCTTGCGGCGGTCGTCCCGAGTCCATTGATGTCGTATCAGTGAACAAGCTGATCAAGAATGGGCGCAGCACGATCCCTTATATGGTGGAGGGTGCGAATCTTTTCATCACGCAAGATGCTAAACTTCGTCTCGAAGCCGCCGGTTGCGTCCTTATCAAAGATGCTAGCGCCAACAAGGGAGGTGTGACTTCATCCTCGATGGAGGTCCTGGCCAGTTTGTCATTTGACGACAAGAGTTTCGTCGACAAGATGTGCGTAGATGCCAAGACTGGGGAGGCGCCGCAGTTCTACAAGGACTACGTCAAGGAGGTGCAAGCCAAGATTCGGCAGAACGCCAATCTTGAGTTCGAGGCCATCTGGAGCGAGCACACGAGGACGGGTGAACCGCGTTGCATCATTTCGGACAAGCTCTCGGCCGCCATCACTCAACTAGATGAAGAACTTCAACACTCTGAGCTCTGGGACAACACCTCGATTCGTCGCGGTGTTCTCGCAAACGCTCTGCCGAAGCTCTTGCAACGCGAGATCGGTCTCGACCAGATGATTCAACGCGTGCCCGACGCCTACCTGAGGGCCATATTCGGAAGCTTTTTGGCCAGTCGCTTCATCTATCAATATGGTAGTTCTCCAAGCCAGTTTGCCTTTTACGACTTGTAAGTTAAATTGTATTCCCCGCCTTACTATCGGCAAAATAGCTTGCTAACATGGACCATTACAGTATGTCAAAGGTCAAGTCCATGATCGAGGGGCAGTAAGCTATCCACCTTTACTCAACGGATGGATAACAACTTTTACGTTTACTGTCGAAGGCGAAGGGTAGTTCCTAGTCCTGACTAAATAAACCAACCCCTTCCCCGAGGTGGACCATACAGTCTATCTAGGGGCCAAGGCGAGAAGTTCGCTTCAAACATTATCAAACCCATCAACATTAATTTTAAAAAAAAAATAGGAAGAGAAAAGGACCATCAGGAAAGGAAAAGTACCGCCGCATTCGAAGCTTGGGTTCATGGTGTTCTCTCTTAGGGTTGTTATTCTTTTTTCTTTTTTGCCTAGTTGTTGTCTTGCTCCTATCATCACTTTCCTTGTCTGGGTTCGGTTTCAATGGTCCGCATTTCATATCTATAGAGTCATCTTGTATGTTTTTGGTTCAAGCAAATCACGTTTCCCTACTGCACTAGTTCTGAATATCGCTTAATGACAGAGAGGGCTTTCTAACCTGAAGGGTTTTGATCGGCGATACTGCATGGTGGGCTCAGCAGCCGATTTCTCTAACCAACAGCCTCATCCGTTGAAAGTCCAAACCATGTGGGGTGTCCTTGAGCAAGAGGCTATCGTGACTATCAGTTTCGTGTTTTTTTGGGGTTGGTCGGTATAGGCGGGATTGGGGGCGGAAGAGACGGATACTTAGAGTATAGACTAGAAACAAAGGCTGTTTAGCAGTACTAGAACATCAAACACACATTCATCAGTTGTCCAACTGTCCAGCATCCATATATCGTCTTTGCGCGGCGCGCAATCTATGTGAAAGCACGGTGATGGGGAACATCAAGAGTCATGGATTTTAGTCATGCTGGGAGATGAGAGTGCATTTCTAGCTCCTGATGCTGGTTTTCCGTAGGCTCAACGCGAAACCGCTAGCGGGAGGACGGACGCGGCAAGATGTCTATCTCGCGAGCGAAGAAACCCCATTCTGCTGGCAGCGTTGGGCGATGGGGAAGAACACATGTCGACTGGGCCGGGCTTCGATGCAGAGACGGATTCACAAATTGGATGGTGGAGCCAGCGGCGTGGGTCCGGCCCTGCCCAAGTGCAGCCTGCAACGAACAGAGGACCCATAATTGGGCAGGTTTTTACGGGACTTGGCGAGCATGAGCAGGATGCCTGGCAAGGTTTTGGAAAGATGCGAGGCCAACGGAGCGGGTTGCGCCCCTAGAATCCGGTTCCCAGGCGCGGAGCTGCGCTGGTGCCTTACAGGACCCGACGTGGCAGTTCTCGCAGACGCTATTCCAATGACGAGGATCGGTCGTGGGAGAGAACGTTTGGAGGACAAGAGAGAGAGAGAGAGAGAGAGCACGAGATAAGAGAAGAAAAAGGAAGGAAATGGGAAAAAGTCTCTCACGCCAGATCGTGTCGTGCCTCGTCCCGGAGAACGCTGGCAACATATCATAGGTTCGTGGGCGGGCAAGGGCAGGAAAGGCCAGCCGAGAGATCTATGGGTGTGTCTTGATTGGGGCTGCGTTGCGACGACTTTTCGTTTTCGCTCGCCCTGATTACACTATTGCTCGGTGCATGATGTGCATGCATCACTGGTATCCTTGCTAGGACTGGTGTTGTGTTCTTGCAAGTGATAGTGATATTAGTGCACGGCATGCCATGGTCTTGACTTCAATCTTGCCTCTCTTGCGCAGAGAGATGAGGTCCCCATCGTTGTCAAATCTCCGCCTCACGAAATCTCCGTCTTAGGTTTAGTCGGAAGCGACAGAAGGCCAGGGGGCGGGACGACCCATCTGGGTGGGCGATTGGGACCAGTGTTTCGAAATGGGCGCACGGGGCAAGCCTGCCTTTGTTCCCTCGCGTTTTCTGGCCGACTTGTGTTTGGGTTCGGGGACAAGGCATCGCACATCACTTCCTTGTCCAGCGGCAATCTAATTATTCCCCTCTCTGCTCTGTCTCGAGGGCGAGAAGGGCAGGGTGGGGCGGTGGTTCTGCCGCGATGTACCCCTACCAGGGATAAGGCCTGCTGGGGGAGGGGAGGAGAGAGTTAGAGCTCTATTAATGTGGAGGACGATGCTGGGAGTGGAGTGAAATGACAGTCGCTCTCCTTTTCTTTTTCCAGATTCCCCTTGATTCCTGTGACTAGAAATTTGATGGTGCCGATTGATCTCTGGGCACTGTACAGGTACCTGTACTTGGACTTCCAACGGGGGCCCGCGCACTGGGGAATCGGATTGGATGGAGTGGAGGGGGCAAGGGCTGAAGGAAGGCATTGACAATTTGGCAGGCCAAGCCATCAATTGATTGAAATCCCATCAGAATGCCATCTCTGCTGGATGCTGGCGCAACGCGGGCTAAGCCTCCAAGAGAATATTTGGAGGAAGGATCACTCGATATAGAACCGAAGCTGTTCTACCCCCTACGCCCTGCGGCATGGCTTTGCGAGGCGGGTGAGGGGAGGAAGGTCAGAGGGTCAGACAGCGAGAGCCATTGCTCTCTTCTGCGGCTCCATAATAACATCAATTTCTCTGTTTGAATCCTTTTGCTGGGCTATTATCATAATGTCTCTGTTTCTTTCTCTGGGGGCCCTCCGCTTTTGTGATTAGCGTTCTCCATTCGCCAGGGGCCAGGCGAAAAGGGAGGTTGGGAGGCAAGTAGATGTTGGCAAGATGGAATTTGGTAGCCCAAGGAGAAGAAAAGTGTTCGAAAGCCCAATTAGATGGAAAAAGGAAAAAAAAAAAAAAAAAGAGAAGACCAAAAGCAAAAGGAAATAGGCGGGGAAAGCGAACTTGGAGTGAGCGATATGGAATTTTCGGAGGGATCAGTGGAACAAGATGACCAGATTCTCCGCGCAAGCCACGATGATCCCTTGGTACATTAGCCGATCTCTCCGCTGATATCACCCATGAACCAGTGTTTGAGTGAGTACGCGTAGAGTTGGCTCAAAGAAGCTGTTTCCGCGATTTTACCTGCTTTTTACCCCGTCCTCCACTTGACTTCGGACGGGGATCCGCCCCTCCCACCGAAGTGCACCTGGCTGCTTGTGAGAATTCGTATCGACGAGAGAGATCCATGGATGAGGGAGACTAGCAAGACTGGATGAATGGAATCGGTGGTGTGCAGAGAAAGGTGGCAAGGTGGATTCCGCTTCACCTCATGCAACCAATTCATGGATATGGATCTCGATAGGTCACGCTTCCCCGCAGGCTTGGGCGAAACAAGTTGGCACAGAGGGGGGCATCTATGAGGTCAAGAGACCATTAGCCGCGAGGTGTCGCCACGGGATTGTTGGATTCGGATTTCCATCTTTGGGGTGGAGGGGAGGGCCGGCGGAAGGACCCAAGCGGCCAAGGAGGGGCCGTCAATTTCGATGCCTCCATGATCCGCGGGTGGGTTTATTCTAGAACTACGTCTAGACTATCTAGGATCCATGGTCCAGCGATATGGCTGACTCGTTCTGTGGATATTGAACAATGGGGTGGAACATAATGCAGAGAGCAATAAATGTACTTCGTACGAACAGCAAGAGCTTTGGTTGGGTCTTCACCACCTCTGCTCTTTTCCTTGTTTCCTCTGCAGCGTTTCTGGTCCTTGTTGAGTCTTGTCTCGTCTCCCTTTCCACCTCTGCCCTCTCGCTTGATTCAACTTTAGGTTCCTTCGAGCGTAGCATCTTTCTTCTCTCTCCCTTTTTTTTTTTTTTTTTTTTCCCTAGAGTTTTCGAGTAGGTTGGCTGTTCGTCGTGCGACACACACTCTAGGATCACGGACGTTGATGGGCGAATCAAGAATCGCATGTGTCCCCTCCGGAACTGAGGGGACCCTGCCCTGCTCTCCAAAGAGGCATCGAAGGGGGACCGTGCGATTCTCTTCGCCCCCGAGTCCGTCGAAACCTACTTGTACTTAGTGAGAACCCGCCGGTTATATGTGGCGCTCGGGGCTAGGGTTTGGGGAGCCGGCTGGCTGGTTAGGTTGGAGAAGAGGAATCTAAACAGTTTATTGCACAAGAATGGAATACTTGTATATCGCGGAGGATGAATGCTTGGGCGGATCGGAGGGTAGAGGGGAAAATTGATAGAAGAAGGACAAGAGGAAACTCGAGGAAGACGATATGGGACTTTCCGATTCCCACCAATTGAGCATCTTTATGCTGCCATGAAGAAACAGCCTTGTATATCAATCTCAGCGACAAAGCAAAGCCAAGCAGTGGGGATTTGTTCTGTTTCGTGTTTTCTAGCCGGTAGAACACGAAGAACGAATCACTCACGAATTGGGCCTAGGATTACATACTCATATGTTTCGAATAAGAAGTGATGGAGTAATGCTTGATGGGCACATCCACCACTCTGACTGAACGGCGCCTCGGGCAGCTTCGTCCCACCAAGACACCGACGATTGTGATGCATCAATGAAGGGATCGATCCATGTATGTACTGATCAGTGCGCGAGATGTGCTGGTGCCCTCCCTCGCGGGCTTTGCCATATCGATGATGACTTGCAGATGGACACGGTCACCCATGGCCAGTCTGGCTCAGACTGGAGGATTTGTTGCATAACATCAAATTCGATTGAACAAGCAAGACAGAGTCACATCCAAAAGTGTATGGAAGTTGAGGTTTCCCTTCTCGTTGAAGAAATCCAATCCACAATGAAACACTGGGCCAAACGTTTCCTTTTGTACCGATTGGGGCCACCCCTCCCCGTCCTGCTCGGATCGCCAAATCGCCCAAAACATCTATTCCATATCAATTGAGAGATGGATCCATTCTACACACAATGAATATGTATGAATCCATAAAGCGCCCCTCTTATCGGCAATCCAGGTCAGGCACTAGGACCATCACGTCCGCCAAATTCCTGAACCTCTGACTTCCTGGACGAAGTGAATTGTGGGCGAGCTTGAAGTAATGATCAATTGGAGAAGGCAAGGGAAAATTGCCCCCGTTCCTTGCATAAGAGAGGAACCGACGCATACTGGCTACACCCTGCGGTGACCTCAATGTTGGGAGCACACAACATTCGATTTGGCCTGGTACCATCTCATCAATCAATTGACCAGTTGCCCGCTTTCCCTGCTTGTACACTTCCATATCATCCATCGTTTCTCCTCACTGTTTCGTTGTTGGCTCCCTTTTGGATTTTTTTCTTCCCTTCCCCTTTTCTTCCCTTTTCCCTCTTCTCCCCTTCAAGAGCCGTCATTCCATCATCGGCCGTCCCCATCCACCCCCTTTTCCCCTTCTTGTTTTCCTTCCTTTTGATCTTTTCACATCGTTCTCCATTTTTCTTCTTCCTTGCTTCATTTTCTTCCTCCGAGGACCAGCCACCCGAGCGATTTGATGCCGGACGTCAATCAACGAAAATGCCTAAGCCAAAGATAATACGTGCCGGTACGTACCTATACATCCTGCTTGTTGCCCGTCTCAGCCCTCTCAGCCACATTTTTTTCTTTCTTGGGGATGGCCCATGGCCCCTTGTCCTCATGTCCAAGCCCCTGCGGAGTGAAGGCGAAGGGCCAGAGCACCTTGAGTTCTTTTCGAGATCTGGAAGAACTGCCAACCCCGGTACCTTGAAGGGGACTATGATCACTGCGGATTCTGAAGTTCCCTTTTTTTTTTTTTTTTTTTTTTTTTTGGTGATGATGCGAAGTTATACTCCTTGGTTACTCCTTGGTTGTTCCCTCTTTCCTGTTTCTAGCCCAGTGGTCTTGAGGCAACATTGGAGCAACAAAGAGACGAAAGGATACAAGTGCTTGCCGAAGAGGCTCTTGTTGAAGCGCTAAGGACTAGAACGAAGCATCGAAGTCGAGTCAAAGTTGTGCTCCTCCCTGTTATTATTGTCTTGCTCTCATTTCCCGTCGCGCCCTCCACCGTTCCTCTCCGCAGCCATTCCTCACACTTCCACCCCAATCATCAATCAATTCCCCAGGAAACCAACGGCCAAGCAAAACAAAAATATCAGACGCCGCGCCATTGAAGAACTACACACGAGGGCGCGAAACACAAGTCTAAGCCGGCGTTGGGCACACCAACTGGACGTCCACCATTCCACCATCACCACCCTCAGCACTGGTTTCCCTCTTGCCCACGCGGATCGCCTTGTCATCGTTGGGTCCTCATCCCAAGAGCTCACGCGGATAAGCCTGCAAGCGAGTGATCCTCGCCGCTCCACTGTGCACCCGCCCCTAATAATTCCCGACCCAAGACCCAACGCGCAACCCAACACACCCTTGAACACAACCAAGACGAGAGCCAGCTATCTTGCCGCTCGGGCTTTTGTACCTTTGGTTGTGGTTGCTAGAGCCCTGTCCCGTCTCGTCTCGTCTTGTCTCGTCGTCACTGGCTCACCTTTCTCTCTGCCTCACACTCTCTCCCTTGTCACCCCTCCCACCCCTTTTTTTCTTCTTCTTGTGCAGTGTCTTTCCTGCGATCTTTGTCCATCCCTGACGCTTCGACTCTTTTTCTTTCTTTTTTCCTTTTCACTCCCTCCCTGTTTTATCCTTGCAACTGCCGTGCCTTTACCAACCTTGATTTTTTTCTTTTTCTCCTCTCCCTAGTTTTTCTTTCTTTTATTAGTTCTTGATCCACACGCCTTGCATCTACGACAACAACTACGACTCGGATCCTGAGCCTCCATTCTTCTTCAAATCGCTCCCTCGCCTCCTTGCTCCTTCGGTCTCTGCGTGTTCCACTAACATTTCTTTCGCGCCTTTGCGCTCGCGCCCGACCTAATCAGACACGATCGATCTCCAAGATCACGCTCGTCCTTCGGCACAGGACCACTCTAAATCAAACCTTCGCACCACTCCCTCCTTGACACTTGCTCCTCACCAGGCTGAAACCCTTCGAGAGGTCGCGCACGAGACCGCCGACGAGAACCTTCGCAGTCCCCGCCTGGTGTGGGACAAACCCGCCGAACTTCAGGGAGCCGCGAGCGACGGCGCTAATCCCGACCCCGACCCCAACCCCGACGTTGACGTTGACCCTGAGATCCGTATCGGAATCGACGACGCAGAAATCAAGTCCCGCGCTTCCGACCAGCCGAATTCCGAACCAGATCATCCCAATCAGGACCACAAGATGCACCAACAGGATGCCCTGGCGGTTGCCCAAAATGGTGGCCTCCAAGACGATAGCGACATGGAGCTAGACGGCGACGATTACGATGATGATATGACGGGCGGCATTTCAAGCTCCCCTTCAATCGAGGATGGTGTGTACTCTCAGCTTGTTCCTTTGGCCGTCACCGTTGGAGGTCCCCTTCGTTAGCCACGCCGGGTGGACTCTCTACCCGGTGCTCGCCACATGGCTAGCGACGCCTCTACCCAGTCCCAATCCCCGTCTCCTCCCCTTAAGCCCTCCCGGCTCGTCCCCCAGAGATCTTCCCTCTCTCGAGTGCGGCTGGGGTCTCTTTCAGCGCCGAGCCCTCGTTAGCCGGGGAAGACCAATTTCAAGCTTCTGTCGAGATGGCAGGAGCTGACCTCCTAGTGGAGGCGTTGATACAAAACGAGGAGGAAAGTCTTCGTCGCCATCTTCTTCTTCCTCCGATCCACGACGGTGAGTACCACAGCGATGAGGACGACGCACTTCTTCCAGGTATACGGCAGTATTACGACGATTACGGGCCCGCCTGGTCGCCCAACATGAGTAGTGGCTTTTCATTCTCGCGGGCCGATTATCTTATATCCGAAATGGAAAAGGAGTTGTCCCGATGGCCTCTTACCGATGTTTCCGGGTTGGACTTCCTGTCTAAACGAAAGGTTTTCGAGAAAGGGGAGCATACCCATGCCCCAAGCGACGGGAGTAACGATAACGCGCTCGACGACCTTTCGACACCCGATATTGCGACCACAGCCCCGACAGAGGAAGAAGAAGAAGAAGAAGAAGAAGATGGCGATGCTAGCGATGATTCCTTTCCCGATGACATTGATCCCCGCTATATTGGCATAGGCTGGGCCGTGGAGTGCTTACAAGATCCAGAGGACATTGATTTCGAATACGTCTACGCGCTTCATACTTTTGTGGCGACCGTCGAAGGCCAAGCGAATGCGACCAAAGGCGATACCATGGTTCTGTTAGACGACAGCAACAGTTACTGGTGGCTTGTGAGGATTGTCAAAGACAGCAGTATAGGTACGTTGTGTAGATGCAATCCTTTTGAGAGCTGATGAGATGACGCACTGGACCGCCCTCTAACTGACTACAGGCTACCTTCCCGCCGAACACATCGAAACTCCTACCGAGAGATTGGCTCGCCTTAACAAGCACCGGAATATTGATGTAAATGCGCCCTTTTATCCTATCCTTGTGGGCTCCCATAGGTTTAGCTCTCGGCCGCGAGCAACGCTGACGTGTTTACTCACCCATCCAGTTGTCTGCAACCATGCTCGGTGACCAAGCAGCCGAAAAGTCAAAGCCAACTTTCAAGACCGCCATTCGGCGGCGAAAGAAGACTGTAACCTTCGCCGCCCCCACGTATGTTGACTATGAGGACTACGATTACTCGAGCGACGACGACGAAGACCAAGAGGAGATCTTTGCGCAGCAGCAAGCAGCAGCCAAGCAGGCCCGCGAACAAGCTGCCGCTGCTGCCGCCGCCGCCGAGAACCAGCAAGGCGAGATGGACTCGGAAAGCGAAATCGAAGACGAGACGGCCAGGGTCGAGCCTCTGAAACCCCGCGTCGTAAAGGAGGCTACCGCTGCGGAGTCCGCTAAGAGCACCACCGCCGCTGCCGATGACTCTCACCTGAAGCGTGCAAGCGAGGATATGTTTGATGGCAAAGCGGACAACGTCAGCCGATCTAGGAATGGCACCGTCCGTAACACGGACTCCTTTTTCAAAGATGACACAGTTGAAACCAAGAAGATTACCCTTACCCCCAACCTCTTGCGCGATGATAACACGCCACGCGAGTCCACGGACTCTAAAGATATTCGCCCTCGACCGAGTCTCGACAAGGTTCTCGACAAGGACAAGGATGACAAGAAGAAGAGAGAGAAGGAGAAGAAGGAAAAGGACAAGAAACCAAGTGTCATCCGCAACTTCTTCTCCCGGAAGGATAAGAAGAAGGGCAGTATCGATGAGTATGAGGACGAGCCCAAGAAGTCGATGGACAGCAGCGAGACCCGCGACAGCAAGGACCACGATGAGGTCGAGGGCACAGATGCCTCGGCTAACGGCCCCCAGCGTCACCCCAGCAAGCTCCAGAAACAGATGCCGCGTACAGAGTCCTCGCCAACTCGTAAAGGGCCTACTACAGGATACGTATCAGAGACTAGGAACGACGTCTCCAATGTGCCGCCCGCGACGATGCGCATCGTCGACGCCGAGACCCAGGAGACTAGGGAGGTATCCTCCCAACCGACCAAGGAGGATTTGGCCCGAGCAAACGGAACCTCGTTCGGACCAGGCGACGCCCAGGATGCCGCGTTGGGACAAGAGGCATCTCGCGGCCCGCGAGCCCAACCCATAGAACAGCGGGCTGCATCACCCGCTCGGACGTCACCCACCAGTGCAACTCGCCCACCGCCCTTGATGGTGGACACCTCGAGTCAAGAAGACCAGTCCCCGTCTCCGTCACCCGACCTACTCGATGGTGACGAAGAAGAAGCTCTCCGGCGTGGGCAGGATTCGGTGTCAACCAACTCTACATCGGAATCCACCGGCTCCACATGGGATGATTCGAAGCTACGAGCCTTTTTCGACACTGGGTCGGAGATCAAGGATATGCTAGTCGTCGTCTATGACAAGACAGATGTAGCGCCAGCGGGACCCGACCACCCCCTCGTTGGGTCTCTCTTTAGGGAACAGAATGCCAAACTGGCCGAGATAACAACTGTAAGCACCCCCCTCCCCTTCCTCACATCGGCGCGGGTAGGATCTACGTGGACGAACGAGACGCGACTAACCTGAGGATGTAGCAACTCGACAACATGCTTGGCGATTGGCTCGCTAGGAAGCAACGGTTGCGAGGCACCATCTAGAGAGCCCGAGGAAGAGCGCTCGTTTGATGATGACAGCAACGCCTAATACCTTTTCATGTTTTTATGACGAAACCTGATGTCTTGTTCTGCCTGCCTTATTTTTTGCCTTTGCCATCGGAGATGGATCTCATGCGAGGCCTCCCTGCCCGCTTCTCATCTCTTTCGTCTGCACTCTGAACAGGCTCTGGTTGCGGCGGCATCGCCGATCCCCTGCCAGAGTCCCCTTCGGAGATGTGAGACTCGAGATTCTGCCCCGCCTTTCTCGCCCTTACCACGGCCCTTTGTACAGCTATGACTTATTTCATGTTATACCCATCCGCGATCTCTCACCCTGCTTAGATGGTCACACATTTTTACGTGTGTCCCTGGCGGCTCTGGCCCTACTGCGCGGTGTTCTGGTTCAGCACGCACCGTCGACATCTTGTCAGACGCCTGTCGGGATCCTAAAAGGGGAGAAAAAAAGGAATCCAGATCGCTGTCTTTCGTTCATCCCCTTCTTGCCCCTCACCCACCTTGATCCCTCGGTGTCTCTTGAGGGTGGTGTTTATACTCTTTTCCCATTTCTTTTTTCTTCGACTTCTTGCATCACGGCGTTTAGTACTCACAAGGAAATATGGCAACCGGAGGAAATGGGAATAACACGCAAAGTATTCTTGGTCTTGGACCTGTCGTTTTGTCTTCTTCTTATCTTGTCTCTATTTCCAATGACGTTCTTAGTCTCCCTCTTTTTTGGGTTGGGATTTCAATGATTCTCTTTAAACGGTCCAGCTAACCCCCAAGGACGGAGCTGGGCCTGCCTGGTCGAAAGGGGGTTTAGCCCTCGGAGCTTCACCCGCGCGCAACAGATAGGGTCACCACAACCTACTTCCCTTTCACTCTTTCTCTTTTAGGAAGAGAGTAGGAAAGGACAATAGAAACCTCTTTCGAGATGTGTGAATTACGTATATGGCAGCTCTCCCCGACCAAAATGGAATGTGATACCGCCACCTTGCCCGCCTTGATGCTTTCTTGTTTATGTAGCCTTGACCCTCTTGTAGGAGGTTGCCAAGACTGTCGTTTCCCAACATGTGTAGCCGCGCACCTTGGCCCCAGGGCCGATATAACCCAAGTCACGGGCAAACACTCATCACGATATCTGAGACAAAAGGATCAACAAAACAAGAAAGTGGAGAACAACAGTACGGCTGTCCTATTCATCCGAGTTATTAACGTAAAAGTGAAGTCTCAAACTCCCACGAGAAGAACTCGAGGTTAAATGGTGGATCGCGAGAGAGGGAGAGAGAAAAGTCCAAAAGGGTAAAACGCAAGCAAGACCCGCCCTCTATGGCTCATCCGAGCAATCTATCTATCGACGCCTTTCGAGAACCAAGTATACACAATAGAGTGGAAAAAAGACAAAAGAAAAGGCAAAACCATGAGCAGCAAGGGAAGAAAAAAAAAACAAAAGGGCAGGAAGTTAGAGCAAAGTAACGCATGCATGCAATAAAGACAGGGCGCATTAGAACAAAACAAGCAGAAAAAAAGAAGTGCAACGATTCCCATCAGTTCCCGCCTAGTTAGGAACCTCATCCAGCGTGCCGCCTATCTTATACTTTCCATCCTCTGGCACTTCCAGCATATCTTCATCTTCATCCCCCTACTCTGCATCTTCTGATTAAGCAGGCACAGCAGCGCTCTTACTCTCGGGAGACGTCACGGCCGAAAACGATGGACTTGATCCAGTCATTGGCGACAAGCAACCTGTTCCTGTAGCTGAAGCACATGGAAAGGTAGGCGCTCCTCCAGAAGAAGTACGTCATCTTTCCGCCGGTAGCGACGTTGGCGTTCCACCAAGTAACATCGGCAACGGCGCGGTCGCTACCAATGTAGGCGAGACTGCCCTGGTGAGAGTAGTGGAAGGGCTTGACATCCTTGATGCGGCGGAGCTGCTTCTCCGACTTCTCAATCTCCTGGGCGATCTTGGCCGAGTCGCCACCGGGCTGGAGGTTTAGGGAAGCGCTAAGTCCAGCAATGTGGGCCTGGAGATGCTCCGTCATGGCCATGTTGTTGAAAAGACGGGCAAGGAAGGCGCCCTCTTGCGAGGCAACCTGGGCTGTGGGGGCGTATCCGGCGACGGCGCAGTCGCCAACGGCCCAGATATCACGGGTGCCCTGGACAACCAGGTACTCGTTGACAGCGAGCCCGCGGGTGGACTTGGCCTGGGCGGGAACCTTGGAGATGAGATCGCGGATGATGGGGCGGATAGCGTTGCCAGTAGCCCAGACGAGGAGGCCGTAGGGGATAACGAGGGTCTCCTTGACACCACCGGGGCGGGTGATGACGGCGGTAAGCTGCTTCTCCTCAACGTTCTTGACCATGGTCTGCGTAAGCACGTCGATGGTCTGCTCCTTGAACTTCTCCTGGGTGTAGTCGATCAAGGTCTTGGAGAAGGAGGGCAAGACGTTGGGGAGAGCCTCGATCAAGGTGACCTTGAAGCGATGCTTGAAGTCGGGAATGAGCTTCTTGATATCCTCCTCGAAGAAGTCTTGCAATTCGCCGGCAAACTCTACGCCAGTGGGGCCGCCACCAACGACGACCATGTGTAGGAGACGGTTGATTTCCTCGGGATCCTGATCTTTGAACGCAGCAGTCTCGACACAGTCCATAATCTTCTTGCGAATGGCCTGGGCATCGCCAATCTCCTTGAGGAAAGAGCTGTGCTCGCGGACACCAGGAATGCCAAAAGTGGCATTCTCGGCACCAACGCCGACGACAAGCATGTCGTAGGGGACTTCAGTCTCGGTGACGGCACCCTTGACTTCGGACTCGTCGCGCATCTTGACAACCTTGCGCTCAGAGTCAATCTCGGTAGCCTCGGCTTCGTAGTACGTCACACCAGTAGGCTTCTGGTGGAGGATGGTACGGATAGGCTCCATGATGGAGCGGTGCTCGACAGTTCCCGTTGTGCATGATGGGAGGAGGGGGTGAAGAGGAAGTAGTTTCGGGGGAGATGACGATAACGTTATAATTAGCCGTGTCGAGCTTCTTCAACAAGGAGACAGAGCCCCAACCGGTACCTGCAAACGTGGAGAGTGCCCTGGTTAGCATTTTTTCAAGCGTATGACGGTTGCAAAACCTCAACATCACCGAGCCGAGGCTCTCCTTTCACATTAACCCAAGGGGGTTCTTTTCTTCTTCTTCTTCGCTCTCTTTCCCCAATTCCGCCAGGAAGATTTTTTTCTCTTTTTCTTCTTCTCTCTTCTCCAGCAATTTTCCCCCTCTCCTTTGCGTTGGGCGACGCCGCATGTGAAAAACCGTGGCTTGCTAGCCAATTGGAGAGCTTGCCATGCAAAAGCGAGCTCTCTCCATTGACGCAGAAGAAAAAGGCTAGGCTGCGGATGAGGTGGGAAAGAGCAAGCGCTGCAAACCAGAGGCGTAATGGGAATCAATTGAACTGGAAATCGACCTACCGAGAATCACAAGTGTCTTCTTTGTCGGGTCAGGAGGCGACTGCGCAGGAGGGTGCTTGTCCTCGTAGACAGCGTAGCCGACATAAGCAACGTAGCCGAGGACGGAGAGGTAGGTTAACCTCCAAATCCATCGAAAAGTTAACCTGATGGCACCGGGCCTCTTGCTCTTGGGAGCTTCGGATGAGTAGGGCCTCGCGGGCAGCTTAGCGACGGCTTGCGTCCTGAGGGCGCTGGAAAGGGCGGAGGGTTTCCTGAGAGCGCGCGCAGCGAGGCGAACAGACTGGTTACGGGCAGAGGAGGAAAAGGCACGAGAGACGGGAGCGCGGAGCTGGCGGGTGGCCATGCGCGAGGCACCACCGGCGGCGGCGACGCCGCGAAGGGTGTTGAGAGTGGTTTGCGGCATTGGCGCGAGGTGCTGGAACGGAGGGTTGAGGAAACACGAAAGAATGGAAGAGAGAGAAAAGGAGAACTTAGGACTCGCGACAAGAGGGGTCAGGAGGAGTAGGATAAGGGTCGAGGGTCGGAGGGGAAAAGGTGAAAGGACAGAAAAATCAAGTCAAATGGAGGAAGGGGGTGACTGGACTGGGAGACGAGGAAGATGGCAGCCAATTTTTTTTTATGGCAGGAGCTAGTAAGTCAGAGGTACGTCAATTTTCGGTTGCGCCGCGTTGGAGAACAAGGTATTTTGGCAGGAACAGGGCGGACCGGAAAAGGTTCCAATGGCACAGCACAGTCAGCCTTTCTTTTTCTTTTTCTTTTTACCTTTTCTTTCCTTTTTCTTTCCTTTTTCTTTTTTTTTCTTCCCTCTTTCCGGGAGAATTGACTTCTCAAAATGGGGGCCAATGGGACAAACCAGGGTGCTCTTGTTAGCGTGAACCGGGCCCCTGAGGCAAAAAGAGTGGGAATGAAAAAGTGAAATATTAATGGGAAATCGAGGAATAAATAATAATAGAAATAACACGAACAGGGCGTTCTAATCTCGATCTCTTCACTTCCCCTCCTTTTCGCGCGCCTTTTTTTTCCCTCGTCTTGGGCCACGCGAGATAAGGGAACAGCTGAAGCTGACAATGGGAGCCAACCTGCAGGAGATACCTTGAAGTGTGTGAGTCGGATAGATTGGAGTTGGTGCCCCTGATTACACTACATGTAGCACAGAGCGCATCATTCGCATGTCGCTCGTGTACTTCCACATGCAAATATACCCGGCCCTGAGATCAAGTCCCTCTCGCCCTGACCTTCTCACCCTGACCTTCTCCCACTGGTTTTCCACACACACACGCGCTATCTCTGAGCTGTACACCCTGGATGGATCAATCATTGATATTCCTGCCGATTAACCTACAAGTAGCCAGCTCAGCTAGCCAACCAGCTCGACACGTCAGGTAGTCGAGTCAAGCACATTCCATATCAAGCGCGTCCATATCACTGCTCGGACGCTCAACTTTCATCCCCAAAGAAAAGAAATCGACAGGGGCAGAAGGAAATGGAAGTAACAGGTTTTTTTTTTTAAATAAAATAAAATAAAATCACTGAAAACAGACGGACCAGCCGTACGCGGTGAAATCCCATCTATCAGAGCATATTCCTGACGAAGGCGTTTACGAGTGTGAGAGGATTTTCTCTCTTCAGCACAATTTGGGGGCGTGGGATACCCCCAAGCCACCCGTCGCTGTTCGCCGTCGCTCCCAAGTTACGCAGCTGTTGCTGGCAAAGAGGGAGAAAAGACACGCCGGTAGGTCCGATAGACGGACCCCGAAAAAATCGATCCCTGTGCTCTCTTCAACGAAACCCCCCTCTCATTTGCAACTTACACTTGGGCGGTGAATTTCTTTTAGCTTCGGCGCACAGTTTTTCTTCCCTTTTTGCCTATTTCCCTGCCGGAGGAGGGAGAGAAATGGAACGTGAATTTCAGAGAAGCCGGCCATGGGTATGGGTGTACAAGTAGGAAACGCATCCACATTGAAGCCAAGCGCCAGCCGGGAGCCACCGTCTTTGGAAAGCGCTGACAACAAGCTCCGCGCCCCAGCACAGTACCATAGATGTAGCCTCGAATTTGATTAATGTCGGACTTATCTTTTTTTTCTTCCTTTTTCTCGGGTTCCCTACCTCTTCCCATTCTCCCATTGACTCACCTCGACCTTTATCGGAGACGCAAGCCCAAATAGGACTTGGCTGAATGGAGGATGTCCCCATATCCCAAGCAACAATCCCAACCCCCTTTCCAGATCGGTGGGGTGCACTTGATATAAGTACTCCAGTGATGCATCAGTAATGCGTTGGAGTTCCCAGAGTCAACACTACACTGATACCACATGCTAGCCGCATGCGTTGCGCATGCGCCTATGGTGCGTGGGAGAATGAGGGTGGGAGGCATCGATCGCGTGGGGTTGAGGCATGTTGCCCTTCCTGCCATCAATGACGAGGCTTTTTTGTTTTCCTTTTTCCTCACTGGACACGAGCGCCGATACTACGAGCGTATTGTCCATCGCTTCAACTATTAGCCTTTCAAGATCGCAACTACAAGGATCAACTGTTCACGAAAAGGAGTCGCGCATGTGCAAAGTTCTGAATAGGTGAACACCCAATCCATCCCATCCCGGGATCCCGCGAGGCTGCCCAAAGGGTGTCAGTGAGGCTCAAATGCGATCCAGTATCATTACATCCCTGCCGTTTTCCGCCCATTCATCTTCCCTTCTTGAGATTTCTTCCCTCAGCAACCCTGTCTGCAGCCCGTGCCGAGAGAGCCTCTAAATTAGCGCTAAACCACATGCAATCCCAAACAACTGCCGCGCTAAGGCTTTAGTCCACCTTGAACGAGAGCTCAGAAGAAGCTATGGCCCTCTTTCGTTTTTGCGGTCCTCCTTTTTTTCCCCTTTTTTCTTCTTTCTTCTTTTTTTTTTTTTTTTTTTTTGGCCACGGGGAAGTAGCAACTCACTGTGCGCCCAGTTGCGATCGATTGCGACAACGGAGCTAGCCTCCATCCCCCTTCCCAAAGGAAAAAAACTTCATCTGGAAATGGCGGCCCTCTGCTCCACCTTGCACCCTTGCTGATGTTGGCGGTGAAGAATGTTTCGAAAGGAATAGACATTTGTCATTGAATTATCACAGTCGACGAGGACATTGGATCCTTTGCGTTTCTGTCCAACATCGAAAGCGACGAGGTCATTTTGGGTGGGTTCTGGAACACGCCGTGGTCATGAACAAACGGGCAGCCGGGCGTACCGGGCACCCTACCTTCCCTTTCGCCTTGCACACTTTTGCGGTTGTCCACTGCTCCTTCCGAAATCCTCCCTCCCTGCACCTGCAGTGCAGAGATCGATGCATCTCTCCAATAGAATATATAAATCAAGGTGTATAATAGGCGATCAAGCATGAGCCCTTGACTTCGGGACAGAGGCATCAAATCGTTCCGGGATCTCCCATTTCTCGCTGGCGCGTTCGCGCTTTCCTCTGCTGGCTGTCGGAAAAGCTGGCTTATTTGCTCATTAGCGCAAGCTGGCGCTTCATTGCCTCGCCTCCCTTCCTCCGTGGGAACTCGCCGTCTTTTCCCGCATGCCCGTGTCTTCGTGTAGGGCAAGTGATTGACGGTGACTCAGTTTCTAGTTCTCCAACGGAGGGTATCATTATTTCATGCTCTAGTGGACGCCATGAACGGTTTTTCCTTTCCCGGCCATATCGGCTTCCTTCTTGAACGTTACCGGAATCCCTGTCGCTTCTTTTGGCATTTCGGTCTCTTCGCCATCGCCTTCTCTCCCCCTTTTTCCGCCCCCAGCCTTCTTCCCTTTTTGTCAGAGGCTTATTAGCATTCAATCTTAGTACTATCCCTTTTACCGTTTCCGGAACGGCGGGGTTTATGGTCCTATGATGAACGGGACATGTCATTTTCATTTTCGTTGCACCGTCCCTTTCTAGAACCCGAATTCGTGAGCTGGAGAGCGCGCGGGCCCGATTCTCATCGTTGCTCATGCAAATTGCGTCATGATACTCTCACCCACAGGTTCCTGAATCCACACGTTCCCACACTGCAGCCCGATTTTCCTCGTTTTAGACGTCCAGAACCAGACAGGTGCCTTGGGAACCGGAGGATTCCGCGAAGTAAAACGAGCTGGGTCTTGAATACGCATTGTATGAACTGCCAAAAATAAAGAAAAGAATAAAGAAAAAGGAGAAAAAGAGAGCTCCACCATTGTCACAGCGATGGTCAACCAAAACAAGTGTCAGGATTAAAAATTACGAAGGCCCTTTAGGAACATCGGCGTAAGGGAATCTAGGTGGTTCTTGGTGCGCCAAGTCAACGAAGAGTCAAGCACGTTTCGGACTAGGAGGAAGGGAAGAAGACAAAGTAAGTCGGGCAGACACTCAAAGTACAAAGTCGTCAAGGGCTTCGAAATGGCGGGAAATTCCCCAGCTTACTCAGATGACAGAGGCACCCAAGAATACTAAACTCTATTAGTCAAGGAGAAAAAGAAGAAGAAAAAAATGAAAGGGGGAAACTAACGGGGAGGCCCTCCGACAACGAGCCTCGGACACGGACTTGAGGTCAACGTCCATTCCGAGGCTCCGTAATCTTTGGACTTCCCGAACTGCGAACAACGGCGACAAAAATCAGCGAAACTCGTCAATGGTCTTTCATTGATGACTCATCACCAACTTCAACCCTCGATGACTCGGAATCTCAATCCCTGGCCAACCGAAATTCTTCGCTTCTTTCTTGCTAACATCTATATTCGGAATCCTGCAGGAAAAGCATCCCCTGTTTCTCCCAGCTTGGGAGAGCTCTCCCGTCCACGCCGAGCTTCTGCCTCCTAACCGCAAAAGTCAAGTGTGCTCCACCGCGAAAGCGCACACGCACAACCGATCTCCCTTAGCGCTCACCATTCGGCCGCCTAAATGCTGTGGGCCCGAAGACGTGCTAGTTTTGACCTGCTTAGGATTCGATTCCTCCTTCTCCCCTTTCCTTCCGCAATACAAACCCATCGCTGGTTTTTTTTTTTTTTGACGAATAGGGAACAAGCGCAGCAATGAGCTTGAAGCTTGGGTCTAGAGTGGGAAAGTCCCCTCCCCTCCTTTCGTGTCCGGACGAGGGCGAACCCGGAGGACGAAGATCAAAGTAGAAGCATACGCACACACGCACACAGTTTTAATATTATCTATAAGGCCGAGTTGAAACCCTAGTCCACCCTCCACTTCCCCACTCCCCTTTCCTCTGGTGCGCCCCGTTCTGCCACTTTGTAGCCTTGCTTGTCTAGGGCAGTTTTAAGCGCCCTTGGTCCGTTCTGAGGAGCTAGTGCCTGAGCATGTGAAAAGAGGAAGGGAAGAGGAAGGAACAGAAAAATGAGTGGCAGGCACTTTCTCTTGGGGAAGGGTGGCTAGGAATTTTCAGAGTGACTAACAGCGCGCTAC